TTCGGCCTTACTTCCATGTACTTGACTGATACATTTACCACATTAACACGACAGAGAGAAGTGTGCCAATTGAGAGGCTGTGCATGTTCATTAATAACCAAAGCTGCAGCAGCTTTAGTGCGCCATACTTACTAATACCTCTCCACAGAAATCTTTATTCCACACACACCCATGCCTCACGCGGCTAGCCATGTGAGAGCGAGAGAGAGCTCTACGCAAAATTGGCCTGCAGTAAAAAGTTGTGCCAGACTGGGGGACATGCTAAGTGGTGTCAAAGGTGGTGTTAAGTGCACCTTCGAAGGCAGGCTACTTTATGAACTGCTGTAATCTTCCCTGTCGGCAAAGCAACAGAGTCACTTCAAAGAACCTCCCAATGGAGCTGGCAACGTGTGTTAACGGCTTTAATGTCTTCGTAAGTGCTTGGCTCTGTGGGCACGAACTTTTAGCTGCCAGATTTACCTTGAGCTACCTTGGCATCACAAGTCACTGGCAGGGAGAGAAAATGTCGGAGTGTATGATTTTGAAGGTCACCTGCGGTGTCTAGACATGATTGCATGGCCAAAACAGAAGGAACTCAATAAACCGTCTGTCCACAGAATTGCCAGTCCTGCTCTTTCTTTACGTTTGACCACACAAAATTTGATTGCTTATCATTATAGAACTGTAGCAAGTAGAGGTTTATGTGTTTTAGTACCCAAAGTATACTTGCAAAGTGATTTACCTGAGGTTCTGACAGTTTTCCTAGAATGATGTCTTCCCACCCACCCACACTCTTGAAAAACCATGGACAAATTTGATAAAGTTCTGATCAGAAAAATGACTTACACCTGTCACATTAGCCATTTAAACTTTCAATATTAAATGCAAGTGCAAGAGTGCCTCAATATAGCAACAGGCTGTAACAGTTAGTACTTCAAACACTGCGCGAGGCAAATTGATTGCCGTGTTTGAAAACGTGCGTATGGCCAAACACGACGGCGCAAATCATGCTGCCAGTCCAGACTGTTTTGATTGTCAGAGCAATCAAGCTGTCAGGGGACTTTGGAATGTCAACAGAATAAAAGGCGGCTGGTGTTGGGTTGTGTAGATATGACACAAACATAATGCTCTGCCCCGCAGCAACGCTTACACGCTCCAGCCATGTAAATGGCGAAGTGTCAGAGTGGGTGGGGAGCGGGATGACGGAGGCTTTGACCCCCATTACTCACTTGTTTACCTCGCCTCAGCAGGACCCAAGCTCTTACCAACACTTCAAGTCTTCACAAGAACGCACAAGTGCCTGTAACGTCCTTGGTCTTGTTGAACCTGTGTTATTTGAGTACAGCAGCAACTACGTACATGTAGTTTTTTTCAACAGGACTGAAGTGGATGCCATACCACAATCAGCTCTTGAAATATAAACTGAAAGAAAAATCTTTCCCAACATCACACTCGAACACGTATAACTCTGACGCCAATAAGTAACAGTGTTTTCAATCATTTACCCTGACTGTCAAACAAGATGAAGTTGAGTTTGTCTTCTAGTGCATTTTTTAGCATACAAGTTCAACAGAAGTTTAGCCATCTACAATTATCTTTTTGTAGTCTACACCAAGGTCCTAACACCACAGCCTCTTCCCCTGTTAAATCTTATTTTTTTAATGCGTTGTACTAGTCCTGTACAGAACGCTTGTTGAGCACCTGCTTGAACTCTGGGTGTGGTTTAAACCAACCTGTTACGTAGGCAGGTCTTGAGCGGCCACAAAGTGCACCCATTGTGCCTGGACAAACATTCAACAGGGCCATAGAAAACCCTGAAGAGGTGGGAGGGGTCTAATCTCCAAGCAGATGTTTGGGTGGCTGCAAAATACAGTATCAAATTGGCTAGGCAGTATCCATAGTATTGGCCAGACTGTGTCCATTTGCCACCCAACCAGGTGAATCTAAATCGGGTGGCCAATGGATACTGCCTGGCCAATTTGATACTGTACTTTGCAACCACCAAAACATCTGCTTGGAGATTAGGAAGGCCTGGGGACTGCGCTGGCCTGCTGTGTGCCAACCCTGGTAGCTCCTGCTAACTTGTACTCCAACTTTCATCACATAAACGCCCTTCAAGATTGCTAAAAATCAAGCACACACTTCAGGGGCAGTCAATGGAAGAAGTTGACGTGTTCTTGACAATACACAACTGTACAAACCTCTCAAAATGCTCTCTTCTACAAAGGGCAAGCTGGAGTGTTCGGGTCATGGACCATTGTAGCATGGGTCCGCTTTTGCAACCAATAACTGTCCTAACAAGGTGCAAAATTTTTTTGCAAAATATTGTGCATTTTTTTTATTAATTAGTCTAAATACTGCATCTTGTTACCCTTTGACTTCTGTTGCATGCAAAATGCCACAAAAACATGTAAAATGGAGACTAAGAGAGATCCTACATCTGCTTGGAGATGAGAGCTATGCTACAGCTCACTGGGCAAATCATTGGGGGAGGGGCCCACAAAAATTTCTTAATTCTCTCCTTGGCTCAACCTTCTGTGACAAAAGGATTTGTAAGGGTAATTAACTTTGTACAGCCATAGTCACAACATGCAGCCCTGTCTTGCCAAGTATCTCATGTTTTCTGCACTTGATCCAAGACATCTGAACTACGTGGTGGCCACATTAAAAAAATGTATCTTGAACTAGTAAACAGAGCCTGTCTACAATGGGTTACAGATTGCGATGACCAAGTGGACAAGTAACAGGTAAAAGTGCACATTAAATAGGGACAACAAATAGGATCTTACTGTACCCACTATGTATCATGGAGACATGCACAAATCATCCATTTTCTGGCCTCAATTGGCAGTTGTTCATTTCTTTCAAAAGGTCAAGTTGTTGTTCATTTCTCTTGAAAACTCAAGCTCCCTTCAAACTTCTTGACCTTTGCTGCATGCAACATAGATCTTTCCTTAGTAATATATGAATATATCCAAACCAGGCATTGGCAATTATTCAACCATTTGTCATATATCCTTGGCTAACCCTCTCCTTGAATGGTACACCATGATATACCAGGCCTGGCAATGTAAAAATTTATTTCATAACCATTTCTCTCATGGTAGGAGACTTGGACATTTAATGGCTTCAAGCCAATTGGTTAATTGGTTAACCTTAGACCTGAATGTGAATTATTCAGTACACCAATATAACAAACAAGAACAGAGAACTAATGGGCAATTTTTAATTACTTCATCAATCATGTGATACAATCTCTTAGGATTTCGTACTGAATAGCAAAGAAGCAACCATGAGCAAAGTAACCATATACATTCTCTTTTTGTTCAAGTCAGCCTATCAATTCATCCATTGAATACAGAAAGATTCAATAGATTAAATAAATCAATAGATTCTCTTTTGATTCCAACCAACAGATTTATATTGATTCTATAATCTGAGTGACATCTGTAGATACCGTAGTTGGCTTAGACTGATATATTACTTTGAGAACACACAGTGAAATACTCGCACAGGCCACAATGTTATTCTGTAACGTTTATATGGCGAACAGTTGTCACGTTTGCATGTCAGTGATCCAAGCCTTCCTGCCAATTCATGGCATGCATGGTGTTACTAATGGGAGCAGTATCCGGTGCACTCTGCCACCAAAGGGGGTTAAAGAGCCACTTCCACGCCAAGCTGATGGACTGTCTAGCACCCTGACGGACTGGCTTCCGTCCAAGTACGTGCCGTCACCACGGTTACAAGATCTTGTCGATGGTTCATCATTGATTGTGTCGTGCTGTCTCCGTGACGTGAAACTGATGATGATATTACACAATAGAAGACAAGTCTTTTACACCACTCATTGTCTGTTCTCTGGGGCGGAAAAGATCCTCGACACTGTTTAATATTTTAAGCGCCCAATCTTAACCTATTAACATGTAGTATAGTTGCCAAGAATGCTGCATTGCTTAGTTTCGAAACAGATTTGACCTGACACTGGCAAATCATTGTCTTTGGAATACAAGATGTTCAAGATGTTTTCCAACTGGCTTTGAGAAGTAGTGAGTGTCTGGGAGTTTCCAACCGTAACATTTTTAAGGAACACATGATGTATATGTATACACTGTACATGTACTAGTACAAATGTATATCCAGAGCTTAGCTGTGTCACCATGAAAGCTTCTTTTTCTACAAAGATGTTATTACGATCTTAATAAGAAGCTTTTGATCAATTTTAGAACTTAATTTAGTGGTCGGCTAGAAGATTTTTGCATTTATTAGAAGCTAAGCTCTCTTCCACTCTGTAATTTACTAGGTTAAAATTTATTAAGATTTCATCATGATGAAAAAAGGTATTACCCCTGGTACTGGCCAAAGAAAGACTGTTGAGGTAAACTAGGTTGTTACCTCATAATTTATACTGGCTATTCTGATATTTATCATTTTCTAGTGTCCTACAATGTGTGAACACTTCAAAACATTAAATTAGCAAATGTCATGTACAGAATATATTGAAAAACACAGGAATCTGAAATTATAAAGTTTAAACTACTTTCAGACATACCATATTACTGTGTGAAAAGCCTTGTTGCAGTGCAAGTAACAAAATATGGTAACAAACACAAAATAACAAACAACACAAAGACGTACTGGCATAACTTTGGTAAACAATTTTGAATTACGTGCTTCTTTGGCTTCTGACAGTAGCTGACAAAACGGCATGGGTGTATCATGAAGACTTAAAATGCTGTAACTGTGCACAAGAAGAAAAGTGCTTACAAACATGACCAATTTTTACCAGTTCTGCGGTCCTTTTCAAGTTGAAATGACCCAAAGCCAAAGTCACTTGAAAGTGTGACGTCAGCCAGGAGTCAAAGTTGAGAACAAGTCAACAAGTCACAAAGTTCAAAACAAGTCTCAAAGTTGAAAACAAGTCACAAGGTTGAGAATAGGCCAACAAGTCAGAGAACTTGTCTTAAGCTTGTTGGTGACCACTTTTCTTCTTGTGCAATGTTATAGCATTTTTAGCCTACATAATGTCAATTACTGCCATAGATGAATTTCCATATTACATAACCAGGCAATACTCCCTGATACTCCACAGCAGAGCAGGATCTGTAGCTGTAGGGGCGCGCGGCCTCTACTCCCCGGAGCGGCAGCAGACCCGCGAGGAGCACTGCAGGTTCTGGCAGCCGCTGGCGGTGTCGGAGAACGGCCCGTCCGTGATGTTGTCGCAGTAGTAGAACTGCTGGTGGTCCAGGGAGCGGCAGCTGTCGGCCAGCGCGGCCAGCCCCTCGGCCGTGATGTTCAGACAGCCGGACAGGTCCAGATGGGTCAGCTGAGGGAGGCCGCCATGGGACGCCAGGGCACTGGGGGAGGGGTGGCAAGTTTGTTTTGTTTGCTAATAAATTTAATACAAAAATGAATTTTCTACAGAGCAACAAGCTTTTTTTTAATCCAATTTGAACTAAAAATTGTAATAAAACCATTTGAAGTACCAAATACATGTATAACTATCCCAGACTACCAAATATGACTATCCCAGGGTATCTTTTGGATAATAGTCCATTACACTGCAAAGGGCAGTACTTGTAAAACCTCTGAAATAGGAGCCCAAGCCCCAACTCAGCAATGTGCACAATGCCCCCTAGTGAGCACATGTCAAACTGCAGTTACTGTATGTACTGTAATCTCCAAGCAGATCTTTCGGTGGCAAGACAGTATCCATTGGCCAGAGGAGTGTCCATTAGCCACCGAAGATCTGCCGGTACTCGAACAGGGAGGAGCACTTCTTTTCAAAAATGGTGTTGCTGCCCCTCCTTGTGCCCCTATTAACAACTATCAAAAATTTGTTGTGCTAAGATTTTTACAAGCGGTTTATAGCTTGAATCTGGGACAAATGCAGTCACCCGCGCACATCTCAGTGGGAGTTCTCACCTAACCCTGTCCAGATAATACTGTATGCTGGTACTAAAATATGCTGGCTGAAACATAGAAATGTCAATAACTGGGGTCCTTGTGGTTAAAAACTGCAGATATCACAAAACATGTGTTGAATCTTCTTTTCCTATGGTTAAACTGTCCAGAATAACAGTTGGTGAGGGGACCCATAGAGAGACTTCCTGTAATGCTCAACCAGCTGGCTCACTAGGAGGGCAAGAGCCTTGCCTGGTGGTCAGGGCAATAAACTACTTGGCAAGAATATTTTGATCAGGCAACAACTAGGTGTTAATAGCCTTTGACGTTTCGACTGCAGGCAGATCTTCGGTGGCTAATGGACACTCCTCTGGCCAATGGATACTGTCTTGCCACCGAAAGATCTGCTTGGAGATTAATGTACTGTACATTTGTATCCGAAGAATCACACAGCATCACCTGTCATCTACATCACAAACTGCAATTTACTACTGCTGTCCTTATCACTATTATCAAACATATTGAGCTGGTGTATTATGCCGAAGGGCAGTTATACCGGCTATACAGTTACTGATTGAGTCTGTCATACAATCTTTCAAAATTGTTGCTCAAATCACAGAGCAGATATCACATAAACCACAGCTCCTCCATTCGCCAATACCTACCTGAGCCCCTCATCTGTGATCTGGTAGCATCCCGACAGGCCCAGGTAAATCAGACCTCTGGTCACCTCAGCATCGTCAAAGTCTTTATCCACATCCCCATTAGTGGGGGAACAGTTGTTAGTCCTTTTGCCGACATTATCATTGTCGGCATAATCATTGTCTTTGTTATTCTTGCGGCGACTGTTGTTATCTCTTGAATTTTTGTCGCGTTGGAATGGGCGGCTTTCCTCCCGGGACATGCAACAAGTCCAAGAAGATGCGATGTCGTTGTTAGGAGGGGAGGGGGGCAATCTCTGCTCAGCACCACCACAACAAGTCCTTTGGTACTGAGCGAGAGGTTCTGAAACACAAGAAGTCCTTTCGGAGAAGCCCTCGCAGCACTCAATGTCTTCAAACTGGGTGTTACTGTGAGCACAGCCGGAGTGACAGGGCACAGGAAAGTCTGCAGCAGGTACAGCACTGCTGTAAGGTGTGCCCGTGCAACACATGTTGCCCTCAGCGTTAGAGAAGTCGCAACAGATGTACTTGGAGACATCCTCACGCTTGTTGTTGTCTGCGGAACGTGGTATGCCGGGACCACTGGAAGGCAGGGGCCCCAGCCCGTTGGACAGCCGGATGAGGGTCAGGTTGGTGATGTTCACGCAGCCTGACAGGTCAAGGTGCCACAGCTTTCTTCCTGCACCACGCTTACCAAGCCTGGAACAAATAAAAAATCAAAACTTTTACAATACCATTAGAAACAATATGTACAAATTACCTACAGCCTGTATGAAACTCACTGACTCAATGCTTAGGATGGAACAGAAAGCTGACACTGACTTGTTTTGAAATGTACAATTGTTGCAGGACTGAAACTAAAAATGCTCAGGGATTGACAGGATGGAAATTCTCACCCCTTGAAGGCAACATCCGACACATTGGTGTGAGAGAGGTCCAGGTACTCCAGGTTAGGGCAGCTCACTATCAGCTTATACACCTATGGAAACAACAAGAGGATATCAAACATTCTTACAGGGGTTTTCTACACTTTTCTACACATTCATATGGACATTCCACACTTTGTAAAAGATATATAGGTAAGGTCATACGGCAAATTCGTTTTATAAAATGCCTGGATACAAATGTCCTTGTGAAGAAAGCTTGCATAGAAATACTCTATGGACCAACTACAACAGAGCTGTTTATCAAAAGAGAGAAGTTCCTAAAACGTACCAGTCCATTGGTGAGTCCTCGGCTGCCCCTCAGCACCAGAGACTGTACAGACCGGCTCACATGGGGGAGGAGGTTTCTCACCATGGAGGTCAACATCTTAGCCTCACGCTGGATACAGGCAGCTGGAAGATGGAAGAATGTGAGTTGGGGCTGATGTTTTCAAATATTTAAGATCAACTTTAAAACATTTGATGCATCTGGAAAATAAAAGTAAAGAATTCTAGAATGTAGAGAAGTCAAACAGGGCATATCCCACTGTACCTGTGTAGCTGAGGTTACTGGATTCGCTGTTGTCGCTCTCTGCCGATTCGTCGAAGTCGGCATCCTCGTCCACGACCACATACAGATCTGCCTCCTCCTCCCCTCCCATGGCTCCGTACACAGGCAGGTCATCTGGGTCTTCATCAGGGAGGAACCCAAAACGCCAGTCACCTGCAATGATGTTGTATAAAAATCATGGTGTGTTGTGAGGTATAGAGTTGGATGCTACAGTAAAGAGACTTAGAATTGAAAGTTTGGTGCTTCCTTTCTATATCTAAAAGTTAACAACATCATGGTGTATTGTATAAAAATAGTATAAGAGAACATGGGAAGCAAAAGAAAACAAAACACTCCTATTGAAAATAATACCTACAGCTCCATTGACTTGCAAGACTGAAGGATTTCTTTGTTAGAACCATTCTTTATTCATGAGGAGCTTAAATTGGCCTGCAGGCTGCTTTTCATTGAGGTCAAGAAAAGAAAAGGTAGAGAAAGATCTTAAACTGGGAATTCTGCCTCACCTTGAGCCCATCGTGCCGGGTGCATCACCTGCCACAGGTGTCCGTCCCGCGCCAGGACCGACCAGCTGCGGCACACCTGGGCACACCTGCACAGGTCCCGCGGGGACAGGTACGACATCACGCGCAGCAGGACCTCCGACGGCAGGGTCTGGATGGGAGACACCTCCTCCTCCTCTTGGGCTTCCTCTGCAGAGCAGACTTATTGTAGGATGGCAGTTAGTAAAGTAACTCTCATATGCTGTCTCTAACAGTGGCATACCTCACCTTTACCAGCTGTTGCAACTGACAGTTAAATACAGATGTTCTACATACTAGTAGCTTCTTCAGTGGAATGGTTAGTAGCTAGTGTATTCCTCCCATCTTGTGCCAGGAAAGTATCACAGTTCAACCTGTTAAAGTCTATCATGGACATTTGTAATAATCATGTGAACAAAACATGTCATGCTGGAGCATTCCTCTCTCAAAAGCTGTCTCTCAAAAGTTTTGACTGATAGATTTTCTCAGACTCACATGTCTTTGAGTTCTCTCAAAAGTTTTGACTGATAGAGTTTCTCAGACTACTATCAATTCATTCCTTCACCAAGGAAGGCTCTATCAGCTTCAGAGTACTTAAGCTACAGAGAATTTGCTGCACTTCTCAAGTATCACTTAGTACCCTACTACTTGATATCAACCTCCTACACCTTCCCTCGCTGTATAACCCACCTCTACACTTCAGGGACTTGTTGTCTTCATCAGACTTTTCCTTGTCTTCCTTGGACTCTGCCTCATACTTGGACTTGGACAGACAGTGGCGCTTGATCACGAGAGACTTGATGTCCTTGAGTTCCTCATAGCTGAAGTACTCCATCAGAAGAGGCTGGAAAACCTACAGGGGAAGGGGGGACCGATAGGTCTTCATAACAATCAAATAAACCCTAAATCTATACAAAGAGATACTAGTAGCAGTTGATGCACACTGACCAACAAAATAGACCAGATTGGTGTACTGTACATTGGAATGGAAATCCATTTTGTTGCAACTGTTCATACGCTATCATAGAGTGAGTACTGGTACTATTACACAACCAACATTAGAATAACTTTAGAAAATCATTAACTTTTAGGTAGATTTTTCTTGGTGTCTTGTTGCTATACTTATGTATCTGTTCACACGGGCTGGATTTGTGCCTGATTCAAATAAATAAGTATAAAATAATAAAAAGCATTTTCCAATTTTCTGAAGCCTGACCTCCTCCTCCTCCTTCATGTGAGGCAGGAAGCGCCGGGTGAAGTTCTCCAGGGCGACCCGCAGCTCCTTGCCGTAACTCGTCATCTCACCCTCCCCCTTCTGCACCAGCCGGTACCCCTGGGCCACCAGCTCCAGCATCTCCGACAGCTGGTTGTGGGAGTGCACCTCACACACTTGCTCGTTCTGAATGGACAGAGCCTGGGGGGAAACATTGTGGTTTGTTTCAGCCTTTGTTGATTCGTGAAATACTAGAGTCAGCTTGCTGGTCGCTTTCCTAAAAAATTCACAATCATAGAGTAGAGTAGAGTCATAATAAATTCAGTCATACTCTTGGCTTGGCTTCACTGATGACATACAAACATACATACATGCAGACAGACATACGTGGCATTACAAAACATACAAGTTCGAACAAAATGAAATGTTGGCATGTTTGATGTCTTTGTACACAATTTCTTTGACAGAATCTTCCCTAAGTTACTTGCTGAGTGACTTAAACTACGCAAAATTACGGCATCTTGTTACATAACACTAATTGATGTAAAATAATAAGCCTGACGCTGGATATATAGTATTCATAAAGCAACAATGATAATATTTGCAAGTCATTGAAATCAATGAAGTCAATGAACACTGACCTCCAGTCGTCGCTGTAACTTGTTCATGATGCAGTCATTCTCAATCTGCTCATGGATCTTGAACTCCGAGAAGGTCGTCTCCAGACTCTTGAGCAGGTTTCCCAGGTCACGGTTACTAGAGAAGTCTGTCTTGGACAGCTAAAAAACAAGGGCGTTAGCCGTAAGACGTAAGTAAGGACATACATAAGCATTTCGTACCATGAAGCATAAAACGTTTTGCTGAGTGATTGTGAGCTCAGCAGAACTTCCTGTGTACGTGTGTTTAACCATGTTTCTTTTGAAACTTTTATGTGTCCGACAATAAAACACTGCTGATGATAACAAAAACCTACTACGTCCTTCAAGAAAAAAACAATAACATATCAAGATATTGATTATATTTTCGTAATATAATTTCAACGTCCCTATGTGAGTACAGTAACTTAAAATTGTGTAAGTTTGATACGTAACGTAATTTGACACATAAATGACTTTTTTCGCGGGAAACAAATTACGCAAAGAACACGTCAATTGTGTGAACTACGTTAGATTGCTGTGACCAAGTTCATCTATATAGAGCAGGCACAGTTAGTGAACCACGCGCAGCGCCAACTCTGCAAGTAAACATCCGTGACAGATGCTAACATTAAAATGGCGCCCAACAGGAGGAAGCAAAAAAACACCTCTCAACAGCTCGCAAATAAATCATTTTCCCGACGTCAACAGAAACCAAACTCGGTCTCATTCGGTTCTAGAAGACCTTCTGCAACTCACCTTCTGACAGTAGTAGTTGACAAGCTCCTTCATGCGCCGATGTGGCACTTTAAAGACGTCCACTTCTTCTGGTGGCGCCATGGTGAATTCTCTGCCCAAACCAACACCCCCGACTGTAACCGCCTGTAGCCGCAAAGAACAAATATGAACTTTTTATCCTAAAACATGGCACCATATCATAGCAACATGTAACAATTCTGTGATTTTAGATATTGATAAATAATTTAAGTCTGATAATTTACGTATTGAGCCAGTAATACAAAACCTTTGGCAAAACTTTCAGTTGGCTTCACTTGGTAACTTTATGTTTGCATGCGGTGGATGGCGTATACGAGTGGCCTTACAGAGAAGGGGTGTTTATTGTTATTTACTTAATTCTTCGTTTATTTACAACGGCCAAAAAACTTAGTATTTTCAGCATTGATGGTAGATCATGATATGCTTTTTCTATCATTAAAGGTAGCTATTAAATAGCTTGTTTTGTCATTTAGTGTTACAAATATTTGTAATCTTTTATTTCATCATTTATTCTTGGTCCCCTATTTTTAGTCTGTTCCATTGACGTCATTAGTTTAGAATTGCCTAGGTGAAGAGTTAATTGTCATAGCTGAGCCTGGCACTGTTGACAAAGCGTTCAAAGTACTTTTGACCGGCACGTTTGCAGGAAAATGTGACAGTTTGAAGCCACAACAATATCCCGAAGTGAGGAGTGTTTTGTAGGTAAGTGATGGCCCAAATTGTTTATTTTTTTGAGATCGACTGGAGTGGAGAAGTTCAAGTTATGGGGGAGGGGGGTGAATTCGAAGGGGGTCGGGACCAGGAAGTTCCTATAGCTATATATTTTGTGTCGTATAACAAGTACGACAAAGCTGTAATCATTTGGAGATTAATAGATCATAAACAGGCAAAGTCCACTTTATTACATTACCATATACAGTGTATCTAAAACCTAGAATACGAAGAAGAAGTTATTCACTTTGAAAGCATGCTATTATAAATTTGTGTTTAGAAATCACTGTATTATTTTGTCTCCAGGAGGCCAGGCAGATTGCCAACGCTAACCATCACAATGCCTGAGGTGGATTTTGATGCAGTGTTTGATGCGCTTGACCTCTCTCGCCAAGGCTACCTCCTACCTGAACAGCTCCAGGACTTCTACCTGGCCCTGTACTACGAACAGGTAGACATCAGACATGCCCAGGCCTCCGTATCACAGATATGTGGGCCTTCCACTCAGGGCAGGTGCAGCAAGAAACACTTCCTCGATGTCCTCATGGAAATCGACCGCAGAAAATGTCTTGAAGAGAAAGTCTACTGGGACTTCCAAGCGCTAGACAGGGACGGGAGCCACCGCCTCCGCCCTAGCGATGCCTTGCTTCTCATCCGAGCGACCCACGGGGAGAAGTTCTCGTTCCAGACGTGGAACCAGTTTGTGGCGTCGCGCGTGGACCCTGAGGATGACGTGTGCTTTGATGAGATGAAGATGTGGCTGTGCATGCTGCCCGAGGGAGATCCATGTGGGGAGGAGCAGGCACAGAAGGAGGAGGAGGATCTCATCAACAAACGGACTGAGATGGACTGGGAAGAACGGGAGGAGCTCCTCAAGTTACAGGTGAGATTGGGCAAACCTGTGTCTTCAAGGTAGTAAGGAAGGGTCGTTGGGAGCTGTGGGATGTTCTAAAAGTGCAATTGATAGTGATTTATTGAGCCGATGTTTCGTTATGAACCTTATTTTTCACCATGATACCCAATTCGAGTATAATAATTACGGTATTGCAAATTACTAGTATTATGATGATGTCAAGATGACATCATTGATAGTCATAAGGTCTCAGCCACCCTTTTACCAGCAGACTTGACATTTCATCATTATTTCTTGGAAAGTGAAATTCGGTTTTAATCATTTTATCCAAAATATTTATTCTATAACAGGAAGATGACCACACCCTTGCTGCAGAGGCTAAACAACAGCAGCAGTACCAGGCAGAGTTCAAGTACCACGGCCGTAGGAAACTCAACAGGTGGGACATTACATGACTGTATTTCTTTGGAAAAAAACTTGACTAGCCTGGTGCATTTTCATACATTGTATTACCATCTAAGAAAAAAATTCTCAGAACAGTTTTGGTCTGAAATATATTTCATCCACATTATAGTATGGAGTGAAATATAAAACAAAAATTCTCACAACAATGTTACCGGTATGTTTAGGTGGAACAAAGGTGGTGTTGAGGCTGTCATCTTTGATGATGGGACAGACTGGGGAGAGGACACCCAGCAGCAGGCCAGGGACAAGGTGGGGGTTACCGAGCTGCTGGCCGCTCTGGACGAGAAGTACCGACTACTGAGGGACAGGCTGCTAGAGGAAATGGCTAAGGTCCACGTTGGTAAGTTTATCTGTAGAACCAAGCTTTGGTGGGTCATAAAGTTTCAGCATCGGAAAAGATCACCAGAGATTGATAAAATAATAATTCCTGATTCATCTACTTGGAAAATAGTGTTCCCTCCATAGTATACTTTTGATTCTTCTCCATGTGTGGAAATGGAAAGTAAAGATTTCCCATTTTTGCTAACTGGTATACTGACTTTAGGATGTTAATTTTCAGCAAAAGTGAGGCAGCTCAAAAACCTTCAAGTTAGATTCACCTTTCCCAACTATGCTTGTTTAATAGTGGTTGCTTTGTCATATCATGAAGACTTCATGTGCATGTAGCAGTTACTCTCTTCCCTTCCAACAGGTGAAAGGAGCTGGTTGTCTCTGTCGGAAAGTGAACGACAAGAGCAGCTGCTCCAGGTGCAGCTTAAGGCTGACCAGCTGTTCCAGAGCAGACAGTTTGATCAGGCATCGTCCCTGCCCGGCGGTGGACAGCCCCAGGACGAGAACCTTCGGGCACTGATGGGAGAAATCTACGACGACCAGAAGAAGAGACAGGAGGATGAGATGGAACAGACCAAGAGGTTTATGGGGGAGGGCAAGTCTGATGAGGAAATATACCAGATCCTGGAGAACAACTATAGAGACTTCATCAGTGGTGCGTTGTAAAAAGTTTCTTGTGGAAGAATCATTTCTTATTTATTGTTATTTTCCAAAACTAGAAATCACAAATTTTACCTTCTTTTTAAGTCTGTTACCTCTTTTGTTTGTGAAATGTTTGGAATGTGTGCAGTACCTGTCCTTGGTGCTGAAAATGCAACAATGATGTCCACAGAGAAGTAGTCAGTAGTACCCCAGTCAGGGGTTGATAGAGTGTAACAAAGTAGAAAAAAAAGCCCATTACTCGCCAGAAGAGTGATTAACTAAAATCATAAGAGCACATGTTTTTGAAGCTTCTGTTTCAGTGTTAAAACTAAAACTACAGCTTTTTACAAAGATTTTTTTGTTGTATTTTAGGGTCAACGACCACAGGTGACCTCCTGAGTGACCTGCAGCAGCGTTATGAACTGGAGAAAGCGACGCTGCTCGGTAAACTGCAGGCGGACGGGAACCTGGTTCTGGGCGTGCCGGAACGCATCCTGGCATTGGTGTACCTGACCAGGCAGCATAGGTGTGCAAGAGATGAGGCAAACTTTGAGACAGCCCTGCTCGCTACGGGGATAGCAGAGAGGTTCCAGACATACAGGGCTCAAAGGTGATTGAAATACCTTCTGTTTAAGGTTGAAAATTGATCCCAAACCTGTTTCACACAACAGAAAAGTTTTTAACACTTAACTGGATTAATGTTTGTAATGTATGAGTGAATACTTGTCCATCAATTTTCAGCTATAAGAAGTAAATTTTGAATGACTTGGATGTTAAACTATTTATCCCATTGGAGCCTATACTTAAAGTAGGCATCATTCCCATAAGGGCATTACTCAGTTACTGGATTATAGATCATGGTTCTTTTCTCCGCCAGGTTTGACAGTGACCGCAGCAGACAGGAGCAGTTGGCGTCTGAACGGTTACGGGAGCGGAAGGGCAGGAGGCAGGCACATGTCCCGGAGGAGGACCACGTCAAGAGCGGGAAGGGGCTGGGGGTCGTTGACCTGCAGCTGGCAGTGGGGAGGGAGGTGAACAGGAAACAGGCAGCAGAGAGAGAGGTGAGCACTTTATTTATCTGTTTGTTTGTTTGTTTGTTTCTTTGGTAAGATGTACTAGTTCAAGTAGACAAGTTTTTGAATATTCAAAAAGTCATAAATTGCCAGTCTTTAAGGCCTTCAACTACAAAAGATATTGCCTTCAAGACTTGTGTTATAAATCGTCTACATGTTGCAAAAAAATACATAATCCCTTCATTGGTATCTATGTTCTATGCACTTGTTGGGAAAAATTCACCAGATAAAACAGACAGGATCGGTACAAAAAAATGTAGATACAAACGACTAGCACAAGACAAAAAATATTGCCTTCTTGACTAGGTCTTTCTGCTGTAAAATGGTCTACAAGGTACCAATCACATTCTCCTGTTGTACAGGTCCTTATCCAGCTGGTTCAGGGTCGTGAGGCACCCCATGCCATCAAGACGGCGAGGAAGATGAGCAGGGAGCAGCGGGAGGAGCGGCTGAAGGAGCTGCGCAGGAAGAGGAACCAGTGGCGCGCCCGCGGGTCAGAGTTCAAGGTCTCACACAGGAACGCAAGCCGCAAGATTCTACAGGTTTGTGGATATGTAGTTGTCTGTCAGTCTCTGTGTTGCCTTCCTCTGCTTCTGGTGCCACAGATCTTTTCTTGTATGATGTAAGTTGGTGTTCAGGGCTATGGTGGCATAATAGGTTACAAATAAGTTACAAATTGAGCTGAATTTCCTTTTTTTCAATGGTGTTGCTCAATGCAAAGCCAAATGACCAATATGGCAAAAGATGGTGGTGGATATTTGGATGGCTGTAAATGGTATTATCAATGGAGTTAATATTGTATAGTCATTCATTGATTATCTTTCATACACATGTCATTATGTTTTTGCAATGCCAGCAGGTAGTACTTTAATTGGATCCTGTTGATTGTTTTGTTAGGAAGCCACAGGTCTGTACTGGGAGAGCCGGAGGGACGCCCTGGGAGGCAGGAGTGTACAGGACAGTGTGGTGTCAGCCTCGGTGTTAGCAGACCTGCAGCAGAAACAGGACATGGAGTGGACCAACACACTGCTGGGCATGCAGGGGAAGGTACGGCAGGAATATGCATACTGGTCATATACTGGTAGTAATTGCATGGGGCACTAGCTGTTTCTGCCTTGTTTTTACTTGACCTCAAGAGAATGAAGTGAGAGTGAAAAAAAGAAGAATGGCTTCTTCACTGTTTCTCTCTCTGCATTTGTGTGTATTCATAGTCAAAGCCTTATACGTTGGTGTGCATCATTGCAGTGAATACTGTGCAGAAGAAGAACTGGTTTATTTGATTACACACTGACAATGTTCTATACAATACGTTGTAGGTAGTAGAAGTAGAAGCACCTAGGTAGTAGAAGTAAAAGCACCTACATGTATGTTAGAATTGTGGAACAGGACAGAACAATAGCTCAATGTACAAAATAAAGATGCAGTTTCTGAATTGACCTGATATGTCATTCCCCAGTCACCTAAGGAGTTGAACCACCAGCGTAAGCAGGAGCAGCGTTCATGCCGTGAGGAGTGGCTGGACCAGCTGTCTGCCGTGGTGCTGGGCACGTTTGAGCTGACTGACCAGGAGAAGGTGCTGTACACAGCTGTGGAGGAGAAGTATGATGCCCTCAGGTCAGTAACAACATGTCTGGCAAGAGTCCAACACTTGCTGAGAATCAGTGACCATATGAGATGCATATTTCCCTTATTAGTTAAGCTTCACTAGCTTATCTGCTGTTATTTTTTGTTCTGAAAGTCTACTCACTCGCTCGCTTGCTCATTCACCTATGAAAAATCACTTTCCAAGATGACAAGACATCCATCTGAATCTATTCCTAGTTAGCAATTCTGCTCATGGATCACAAGATCATGGGTTTGAATCCCATCCCGCACTTTATGGATTACACTCCCTTGATTGTTGAACATTTGTAGTTTTCCATCCATTCTTTTGACTCAAAACCCAAATTCTGTTTGTTGCAGAGAGAAGTTGTTTGTGGTGTCGATCCTGACCAACCCATCGCTACCTGAGGAAGAGAGACAACACGAGCTGGCCCGCATGAAGGCAAAGGAACAGAACCTGAGACGGGAGGCCAACACAGATGACATGGCTGAGCTCCTGGGGCAGCACTTCAAGGTAATTTCACAACTTCAACACTGCTAAGGCCACAAAAACTTTTTGGTGACACTCTTGTGATAATCAATTTAGACTGTTTTCTGAAGAAGAAAAAAATCAAGTGAAACAGGTACAACTGTATGTATGGTAAATCTCTTGTAATGAATAGCATAAGCATGATGATGGGACTCTTCGGTGGTCTCTTAGATCCTTTTTCCTGTTAATATAATGTCCACATACATCAGATTTTGTCAGTCCTCTGAGTGGCCTTCTTGGGCAGGTTTGACCATACATTTGAGTCTGCTGTGTTTTAAAAGAAAACTGCCCTTTTTTTCCTAGACTCCTCCTGGGATCATGAAGCTGATGGGAGAGCTGAGGCTGGCCTTCGAGAAGCGAGTCTTCCGCCACCTGAAGGACACTGGGAAGACTGCTGCAGATCTGGAGGACAACTTTGGTGAGAAAGTTATAAATGGATTTTATTGCTAGCTATAGCATGCAGTTATGGGGTACAAAGCTAGTTTTTACAGTAACTCAGATGTGACTGAAGATAAGAAGATTGTTTTGCATCAATGGTTCTGTTTTCTTACTTTCGAACAAGACATTGAGGAGCCTGCTTAAAAAGTAAGAACTATACATGGATTTTATTGCCTACCTATAGGATGCAGTTATGGGGTGCAAAGCTAGTTTTTACAGTAACTCAGATGTGACTGAAGATTCTCATGTATCAATATTTTATTACTTTTGAACAAGACATGGAGGAGTCTGCTTAAAAAAGAGAACTCAGAAATAAAGTTATAAATGGATTTTTTTATTGCTAGCTATAGCATGCAGTTACGGGGTACAAAGCTAGTTTTTACAGTAATTCAGATGTGACTGAAGATTCTCGTATCAACGTTTTCCTACTTTTGAACCAGACATGGAGGAGCCTGCCTACCCTGCGATGTCAGCCAACCCGTTGGCTGAGCTGCATGAGAGGTTTGAAGAAGAGATGGAGCTGGTCCTGACCCTGCTGCACGACAGCCAGGGCAGCCACGACGCCCTCTATCAGTCAGAGCTGGTATGGCAGCGCAGGGAGAGACACAGGGTGGAGAAGGAGGGGATGTTCATCCCAGCTGCCCTCATCGTGGGGCTGGCTGAGAGGCTGCGGGCTTGGACCAGTGCAAGGTACACTGTTCAGAAGTGTTCAAAACAGTTATATTTCTTTTAGCATTGTACAATGTTGCATTGGTCTTGGCCAGAGTGTATGCTGGACTTGTATAATATGTGTTTCATCTCCTTGCAGATCTGTAACAGACAAGGCACGTTACCAGTCAGTAGCAGAAGAGAGGATGGCTCACTTTGCCTACGAGAAGACAAACCTGCAGGAGGAGCTAAATGCAGACGATCGTAGGGAGCCCAGCGAAGGTAGTCTATTTTCCAATAGACCTGTTTATTAATTGATTCTACACCTTGATCATTTTTATATGAATCATAAACATTGAGCCAGTATCTGGATTCATGCAAGGGATTTTTACAAGGGGCTTGTAAATTGAGAAAGTAGCAAGTGATTTCAAAAAAGGATTGCAGAATTTTCATATGAAAGTGTTTCAGATATTTCATAGGTTGTACATTCCTTTTTTAGAAGCAATATAAAAGAATGGCATCAGGACTTTAGCAAAGGAATTGAAGCATTAAAGCGTAGCTAATAGTAGTGATAAATTTGTACATCAAAGTGAAGCATGTCATAAGCTGTACGTTCCTTGTTACCTCCAGGTGACACGATCGGTTGGCAGCAGGCGGTCCTGCGGGCGCTGGACAACAAACACCTGGCTGAGAGGCACCTGCTGCTCGGCCTCCTGGGAGACGAGACCAGCGAGGAGCTACGGGAGGTTGCCAGGGAGATGGACAGCGATGAGAGACGGAAACGTCTGGTGGAGGTCAAGATGAAGAAGAGGAAGTTTGACCTTGAATCAGAAGGTCAGGACTGTTCTGGTCATGTTTCTACAGAAGTTGAATTACAAGGGACAACTTCTTTAACCTCTAAACTGCTGTCTGATCCCAATAGAACAGTGGTAGCAATATGGCAACCGCAGTGTGCTAAAGGTTTAAACTTGTTATTATGTCTCTCAAGCAAGAACTACAGGATTATATATATATATGTATATTCATATACAGTTGTGCTTAACTCTGTCTATCTCTGATCTAGAATGTTTTAGGAGAGCATCAATTCCTCCTCTTTAAACTTAAAATACTAATCACAGAACTAATGAAACCACCCCTCTTTCATTCAGCTTCAAGAGAGGAAAACTTCAGCGTTCTTGAAGAAGCTGCCGCTCTGAAAAGCGTCAGTAGAAAGTTCCGTCTGGAGAGCCAGCACCCAGCGAGGGAGATCACCCATCAGTACGTCACCACTACACTTCTGGCCGACCTGCATGAGGAACAGGACCTGGAGGCACAGGCTGTGTTTGCAATGCTCTCTTCTAAGGTGGGTTTTCCAATATGGTTTTTGGTTTCCCATTGGCTACATCACTAAGTTTTCTCCAGTCACCAGGCAATAGGGGTCATGGTCGACTGATGAAAGTCTAGGACATCAGTGAGGCTTCACTAGTGTAGACCCATTGGACAGAGCCATGGTTTGAAGACCAGCTAACTGCTGCCAAACCATGACTCTGAGATCCTTGCAGCAGTTTATCATTACAACTTGTACAAACCTATGCAGGATAGGTATAGTTTTCCTCTGCATTCTTTTGATTGTCAGTCAGATAAAGTATGGCTACAGGTGTTTCAAGTCTGACTACTCCTATGTGACCCTACCTGATAACTCCCAAAAGAACATGTTTTGAATGTTGTTATTGTACCCGGTGCAGTCTGAAGCTGAGTTGAGGCGTCAACGTGAACAGCAGACCAAGCTGAGGCAGTGGAAGGCAGGAGACAACGTGCTCATCATCCTCACAAGGTTCGAGGACAGCGGAGGCAGTGATCTCATGAGGGTAGGCGGTGTACTATTTTCTTACTGAAGCCAGACATTTTCTGTGTTTGTATGTGATTATATGTGTGACTCTGTGTGTTCGTGTGTGTGTGTGTGTGCGTGCTTGCGCGCATGTGTGTGTGTCGGTGTATTTGTATGTTTGTGAGTATGCTTGTGTGTATGTGTGTGCTTGTGTGTGTGTGTGTGTGTGTGTCTGTGTTGTCAGTGTATTTTTGTGTGCATGGATGCATAATTTTTTTATGCATCAATTGCTGTCAAATTTCTTTGCAAATGTTACCTTTCTAGTTCCTTTCCTTTTGCAAAACTGAAAAAAAAATACATATATTAAGTTTAACAATTGTTACTGAATCCTGTTCTGTATAGATTCTGCAGAGGAAGCATGAGAAGGAGCGAGCCTTCCTGAGTAAACTGCTGCAGGACCGGAGTCGCCAGGACCTGTGGGACGCTACGTCGGTCATGTCCTCGGTACAGAAGCAGGAGAGACTTCTGGAGCTGACAACTGCACTGAAAACTGCAGAGAGAGGTAAACACTGTTCATTGTGTAGATACAGTCATATATGTTACTCACTCATTCATCGTCTTGCCAGAAAGATATAATGTAGATATGCAACCCTGAAAATATCTATTTTTGGAGTGATGCACTTAAAAATTGATCACAATATCACAGAGAAATAACCTCAGCATCAGGTTAAGTGAGTGAGTGAGTGAGTGAGTGAGTGAGTGAGTGAGAGTGAGTGAGTGAGTGAGTGAGTGAGTGAGGGTGAGTGAGTGAGTGAGTGAGTGAGAGTGAGTGAGTGAGTGAGTGAGGGTGAGTGAGTGAGTGAGTGAGTGAGTGAGAGTGAGTGAGTGAAAGAGTGAGAGAGAGAAACATAATAGATACCCTGTTTGATACATCTTTCTACTTTTTAAACGTTAATGTTCTTATTCTCACTTGGTACTTTGTCACGTATTCACAGCTGAGAAGGCTTGATGGATGTTTTGTTCTCCCCAGGTAAGGGTGGGACAGGTGAGTACAAGAAGGTGCTACAAGAAGCTGCCATCGTCAAGTTCCACAGCCGGCAGACCTCCCTGGGTAAGGAGAGGGGAGTGGACCCGTCTAACGATGACGTGGTGGTGTCGGTCCTGAAGGATCTGTACCATGAACAGGACAAGGACCAGAAGAACGTCATCGAACAGTCGGCAATCATGGTGAGGAACACATTTTGTATTAGTCCAGCGGCATAGCTGAAAAATTTTGCACTCTTGTCTAAAAGCACCAAATATGGTAGAAATATGAGGATGCCAAAGAAATGGATTAATATAGCTTGGGACCTACAAAGACATCTTTTTATAACTGATACCAGTTTTCATATTTCCTAGAAATGGATAAAAGAAACATGCAGTCTTGCTTTCATTCTCTCTCTCTCTCTCTCTGTCTTTCTCTCTGTCTCTGTCTCTCTCTCTCTCTCATTAGCATCTTAGAAACCATCACAACCTGATGATACCAGTTACCTGATGATATATAAATATTATGTTGTGTCCAGGGAGAGCCGACCCTAGCAGGTGTACAGAAGCAGTGTCTGGAGCTGCTGAAACAGGGGAGGTCTGAGAATGTCAGCGTGGTCGTCCTGGCCGCCGAGGTCACCAAGGAGGCCGGTCAGGAGGAGCTGATTGACGCTCTGGAAGGGAAGTACGACGCTCTGAGGGACAAACTCATCGCTGAAGCACTCGCTAAGCAGGTACCCTATCAATCATATTACCTGTCATTTGTGATGTTGGTTGTACAGTCAAACTTGACAGGCCAACCACCTCCTGCTACAGGCTACATTAAAACAGTCTTGTCCAATTTTACATACTAAGTACCATATGTATTAGTTGATACCCTCTGCTAACAGGCAACTGTATTACTAACGCTCAACCAGAAAACACTTTTTTCCATATGCTATGGGGAATTCATACCCCATTTAGCAACTTAAATTGATAATTAACTATTGAGATACATCAAGGCCCTATCTTTTGTGTGCAATTTGAGAATTGGGCTGCACAGCCACATTAGAGCTTGCAGAGGAGGACAACCTTTCCATTTATCTTTGGACATGAACAAATAGCCATCAGATCATCTTTTGCCTTTTGCAGTCTAGGAAAAAACAATGCCTGCTTGAATATTTCCTTTACAGATGGGTGAGGCAGAGTGGCATTATTTCATGTGGGGAATTCATACCCCAGTCCGCAACCTAAATTGACAATTGATGATCAGATATATCAAAGTCATATCTTTTGCAGTCTAAGAAAAACAACACCTGCTGATTGAATGTATCCCATACAGATGGGAGAGGCAGAGTGGGCACTGCTGTCTGAGCAGGAGAGACAGGCCAGGCTGATTAAGATGAAGCTGGAGCAGCGGAGACTGCGGCAGGAGGGACGGCAGGAGGAGGCAGACGCCATCTTGGCACAACTCCTTAAAGGTGCTATGATTTTCTTTATATAGAACATGTGTATATGTCTAGTTTTTGGATAACATATGATGAATGTTGGGATTGTAGAAGAACTGACTACCAAATTTTCTCTTGGGTATTTATCGGTCCTCTGGCTGCTTTTTTCTTTTCATTTTGTGGAGATGTTCTTTTATGTACTGACATTAACAGAGTAGTTATTTCATGGCAAATTAAATCATATCAAGTGGACAGGCTATGTCACAGGTAAAACATGTGAGTTGCTCTTATGAGCCTTGTTTTGTGGTGAAAATTGAAGTAAAACAAATATTGACTTAATCTTACATCTTGGCACGACTCCTTACAGACCAACAGAACCTGGAGAGCCTGATGGGCGACACGAAGGCAGAGCAGGAGAGGAAGCTGAAGGAGCGGCTGGCCAGGAGGAGGCAGCGGCTGGAGGAGGGGATGACAGAGGAGGAGGCGGAGCGGCTGGAGCAGGAGGAGGTCAGGGAGGAGGAGGAGGAGAAGAGGAAGCAGCTGTCCGCTAACATCCTGGCAGACCTGGAGAAGAGATATGAGGAGGTACGGAAGTTGTATGGAAAAATGTAGAAAATACATGTAGTTTTGTTCCTTGATACACAATCAATCAAAATTGAGCACTGCTGTTATCTACATGTAGGTGTACACCTTTTCATAGATGTTAGCAAAATCAGTTCAAATAATCTTGCAAATTGCAATTCTTGCATATTCTTGAAGAAATACAGTGCATCCAAAACATTTTAAGAAGTATGGACTAGTGTTGTAACAAACTTACCTTGCTTATTTTAGTCTTTTGACATAATTGCTTGAAAGTATTGTCTGAAAGGACTTGGATCTGTGACTACAGTGTGCATTTACAAAACATACATTTCTGTTATCTACAGGAGAAAGAAGCCCTGTTGGCAAGCCTGAAGACTGCAGACGCTCAGGCCGACAGCGAGAGGAAACGGCAGGCAGAGCTGACCAGACTGAGACTGGAGCAGCGCCGGGCGCGACAGGAGGACAACTTTGAGGCAGCAGCAATCGTGATGGGACTGGCACAGTCAAGCGAAGCTGCGTAAGAACAGTTTCGTTTTGTCTTGTCAGGGAGGGGAGTAAGGAAACTGATGCTGTCGTCTAGTCAATTTCAAGAGAAATTTCTAGCGGAGGAGGGAATTATGAATATCTGCAGTACCACAGTATTCTTCACTTCTTAAGTTCTTTGGATTTCCTTGGTGTAGTTAGGTGTTGAACTGAAGAAAAGCTGGAATACCCTTTAGTTTTACCTTACTAAATTTAGTAATTCTACATATTTCTAGCAGTTCTTAGCATCCACAGATACATTTTGTATCTGCCTGAAAATGTACCAAAATGTGTCTTTAATTCCTGTCAAGAAATTACAAGAAACCTTGTAAGATTACTCAAGGTCTTGGATCTTCCATACACCTAATGGTAAGATCTTTCTTACTTTACTTGGTACATGTAGGAAGGAGAAGGAGAGGTCTCGCCAGGAGCAGCTGGCCAGGGAGAGACTGGAGGAGAGGAAGAGGAGGAGGAGGGAGGGGCAGGGAAAGCAGGAGCCCGGGGAGGAGGCAGTACCAGTACCAGAGGACGAGGAGGACGCCCTGGCCTGGCAGGAGGCAGTCGTCAGGGAGATGGAGAAGAAACATGCAGAGGAGAGGGACAAACTGGTGGAGGTGGGAGGAGAGTCTGTACCATAGTTGAAGAAATTCTTGCGTATAATTCAGAAAACACTGCTGTATCTCTGATGTATCTCAAACAAACTCATAGCCAAGATGACATGTATGTGCTGAGGAAGAGTTGGAGAAGGAGAAAACATCATACCGGTATGAGAAGCTGAAAGAAACTACATTTTGTGACTTCTTTATATACAGTCAGGTATATGATGAAGGTTATACAGTCAGGTATTGAGCTGCCAAAGTAGCAGTTACTCATTGACAAGGAACTGGATAGATTCTGAAAATGGTCAGACATTTCAAGTAGCATCTGCTACCCGTGAATAGTTTCACCAGGTTGGTAAGTCACTGAATAAAGAGACCCTTTTACTCAACCACAAGATTTATTCAGCCAACATTTTGATGACCGTCTGTAACATTCCTCAGGGCAAATCTGACTGTAAAAAGAGTGAAAAGAGACTCTTTATTAAGCATCTGCTACCTTCTGTCAGTGACTGACAGAGATCTGTAGCCAACAGTGAAAGACACTGTATTTTGTCCTGTACAGCTTCTGCAGACAGAGGGAGCATCAGGCAGTTCCAGCCGGCAGAAGGCCCAGGCTGTGACGGAACAGGACAGACAGGACCGGCTGTTTGAACTGAGCGAGATCAGGAGGGACTGGAGGGAACAGAGCTCAGCAGAACTCTCCGAAACACAGGATGAACAGGAGGAGATATTTGAGGTTGGTCACAATACAACTTGACAGCAATTCTGTTCCACTTTGGCATGTCTACAGAGATTTCTTTATCCATGCAGAGCATGCCACTCCAATAAAAAGAAGCATTCTAAAGGGATAGTTCATACTACAGGTTCATTGTACCAAGGAAATTCTCCTAGCTCATTTTCAACAAGCACAATGAACAGTGGACCAGAGCTTAACTTCCCATGCTAAGGAATGCAATCCTTTACAGTAGCCTGCATGTCGGGTGAGTGACAACAGCTGGGATTTAAACTACCAACCTCTTAGTCCAGAGGCCGGATCACTAACTGCTAATTCCTGTTTTTCCCTTCAGGAGTCCACAGCCCTGCGAGTGGAGTGCTGCCTGTTGGCCCTGCAGTCTGCTGCGGAGGGAAAGGCTGTTAGCGATGACGACGTTCACGTGTCGCTGTTGGCAGATCTACAGCAGCACCAGGACAAGGAGAGCCACTACCTGCTGCAGGACCTGGCTGCTAAGGTACCAATAGATCAGGCCCATTTCTAAAGGAGAAGTTTGTTTGTTTGCTTGTTTTGCATAACTAGTAAACCATCTGTTGGCATAACACACTTTAAATTTGTAAAGTAAGGTTTGATCCACTCACACTGTAATGGACTCCTACTAGATACTAGATGCTAGATACTAGGGTAAAGGGTTGATAGAAAGTATGTTCAGGTGTGAGTGAATTGACATTCTCCTTGCTGCCTAACTCCTTAGCCAATAGAGAACTGGTAGCTGAATGGATACTTCAGTGTGCACATAGACTAGATTTATCTGTCCCCTGAGTGGTCTCTTCGGTCAGGCTTGACTGTAGTTTCTTGCCTTCCGTTATCACCATCAGACCATAGCCACACTAAAGCAGCTGAAAACGGTGTGGTACATAGTGACCACCCCTCCACATAGACCAGATTTCATGCGTGGTCTTCTTCAATCAATCAATCAATCAATCAATCAATCAATCAATCAATCAATCAATCAATCAATCAATCAATCAATCAATCAATCAATCAATCAATCAACCAATCAACCAGCCAGTCAATCAATCAATCAATCAATCAATCAATCAATCAATCAATCAATCAATCAATTGTTATTCAAACAACTAGCAGATGACAGTCTGAATTGAGTTGTTTTTACAGTTCATAAAATTGACGTTAAACAACACTAATGGTTTAAAAATTACATAATTTACAAGATAATGACACAAATTCTTGAGTAGGTTTGACTGTAGTTTCTTGACCAACAAACCCTCCATTATCACCATCAGACCATAGCTACGCTGAAGCAGCTGAAGACGGTGCAGTACCGCGCCCGTGCAGACCGGTGGTACGATAACGTCGCAGCCGTACTGCTGACGGGAGAGCGGCCGGCGTCACCCGAGGAAGGCGCGTCTGAGGGGGAGCTGGTGAAGGCTCTGGAGGACAAGTACGACGCCCTGAGGGACAAACTCATCATGCAGGTGAGGGGAAGAAGCTTTTTCTGTTTCTTATCATTCTAGGTGACCAATCTACATGTAGTAGTATCCAGTCTTTGATTGTACTACTGTGGGGGTCCCTGACACGGGTAGGCAGCAGTTGGCAAGACTTCACACCACGTTACCAAGCAGCTCTGTCCAGTGGGTCCACTCTGGCAAGGCAGCACACTCTAATGTCCCTAATCAGCTTTCATAAATAACAGTGAAGACACTGATGATCTATTACTACAGTAACTCATAAACATTATAAACTTCATAAATGTATGCTGCAACAGAAATGCATAACATTGTCTTTGCTTTTGAAGACAGTTGGATTCCATAATTACATACATGTACAGGGAATAATATAGATAAAAGCATATTCTAATATGTTAAAATATATTTGTCTTTGTATGTGGTAATTTTGTATTAGTCTAACATGCACTAACATGACCTGATGATGTTCTACCCCATGCCCCTCCCCAGACCCTGATTGACACGATGGGAGAGGCAGAGTGGGCGGCCCTGTCTGAGAAGGAGCGCCAGGCGCGGCTGGTGAAGATGAAGCTGCAGGAGCGGCGCCTCAGGCAGCAGGGCAAGTTTGACGAGGCGGCCGCGCTGTTAGGGGAGGGCATCAAGAATCAAGAGGGTGAGAAGGAACTTAAATAAAACTTTGTGACTTAACAGTATCTTCAGGTTCTCAACACAAGTCAGGATTTAAAGATGCTTGTTATCTCCAGTACAACTATTAGAGATAACTTGTTTACTAAGGATAAGTCAAGCCATGTAAGGGTAGATTCTCTTTTAGTTCTTGGCTCTAAACAATCCTTGTTTGACATGAGGTTTCCTGTATGTCAAAGTTCTGCAAATAAAAGAAAAGTATTACTTCAGCAAGGAATACACAATTTTCTGCTTTCCCTTTCTACACTGAAAGAACCTTGTAAACATCATGACTTTTGTGATCATTTTCAGTGGTCATGAGGTTTTCACATTTGAGAAGTCTTTTGCCAAATTTCCACAAAATACTGCTTCAACAGGGAAGACAGTCTTTCCTCACTTGACTGAGAGAACCTGGTAAACCCTGTGTAATAATTTCCAGAGCTGGCCCGGCTGCTGGGAGAGGCGAGAGCTGACCAGAAGAAGCAGCTGGAGGAGAGGCTGGCCCGGCGCCGGCAGCTGAAGGCAGAGAGGGAGGCGCAGGGGCTCGCCACGGACGACGCAACACTGGACCAGATCCAGGAGGAGGAGGAAAAGAGGAATCTGCCAAAGGTAGGTGGCACAAGTTACTGAAAAAGGTTGATACATATGAAAAAAATATCAGGAGATAGATAGGGAGCTTCAGGACACAAGGCACAGTGGAAGAAGATGAAGATGAAGAAAGACTGAATGTAGCTGTGGGACTTTTTCAAGACTAAAGATGCAGAACACAGTAGAAGAGCGATAGAGAGGATAGTTTGCACATTTTCATTCCACTAGTTTGCACTTTGATGCAATGTAATGAAGACTTTCAGCTTTGTAACAAGTTTGTAATTATGCAAGGGATTTTGAAGTTTTAGAATCAAATGATTCGGAAGTACCTAGTCATTTCATAAGGTGTAAAGTGAAATGACATATACAAGTCACCAGCAAATGTGTTATTTTGCACAGAACATCCTGGCAGAACTTCAGAACAACTTTGATGCTGAGAAAGAGGCCCTCCTGGCCAGTTTGCGCGGCCAAGACGAGAGGTTGGCCTCCGAGAGGAAACGGCAGTTGGAACTCGCCCGTCTGCGCCGAGAACAGAAGCGTCTGAACCAGGAGGACAAGTTTGACAGTGCCGCCATCGTGTTCAGCATCGCAAGGAGGAATGAAGCAGCAAGGGAGGCAAAGTAAGTGCATTCTAGATGCCATTGTGTGCTGAAAATCACTTAATGTTTGCAGCAGCAAAAGTCTGTGGGCATGTTCAAGGAACTACTAGTACTTTGGTCATGGTTGTGGCAGGTGCAGAAAAAATAAAGTTGGTAAATGATTTGTTTATGATAATAATAAGTTTGCCGTACAGAAGTGACCACAAAGCTGCGAATATAAGAGTACCACGAAAAAATAGAGATTTACAGTATGCCGATTCACCCCTGGCATCTTTCAATGGCATCTTTTAATTCAAGATTATGGTAACTACTGGTACATAACTACAGTTATATAAGGCTAATCTACCTAATACAAGAGTGTGTAGTTTGGAATGAAAATGTAGTATTGGATATGAATGGGCTTTTACAATACACACATCATGTTTTCCTCCAGTGTGGAGAAAGATAGAGAACGGCAGAAGCAGCTGGCCCAGGAGAGACTGGCCGCTCGCAGGAAGAAGAAACAGGAACAAGCGGACCTGACCAGCAGGGAGGCTCTGGAGGAGCGGCTACGTCAGGAGGAGGAGGACCAGAGGCTGGAGGATGAGGAGGAGAAGTCTAAGATGACAGAAGAAGGTGAGAAGAATATCTAATACATGTATTAAGTAAATTGCAGAAGAAAAGCTTTCAGAGAGTGATGTCAGCTTGTAACTACAATATTGAGCTACTTAGACTTGTTGAAATGGCTGGTTTTAAAATTGAAATATCTGCTAATCTCTATGGCAATCACTTGAGATCTTTATTTGCAATCAGGTACAGATTCAGGGTCAGATACATATTCATGCACAGATACATCTGCTAGTATGTAAGAATAAATGGTACCATAATTCAACCTACACAATACTATACAACACATTTTTTTCTACGAGTTTTCTCAGTGCATGAATACAAAATGCGAGGCAAAATACCACTTATGGCCATTGAACTAAGTTGGTTGGAAATAGAGGTGACTGCTTGGAGATTGCATTGAACATATTGGTTTTGAAGGCTTGTGGGTTGTACATGTATTTGAGAGGAAAGACTTTTAAACCTTACATGTATGTTAAATTATGTCCTAGTTCTTGATATACAAACGTACACACCTTGTATCTAACCCAGGTGCAGTAGGGCTGCAGGTAGCAGTACTATCAGAGCTGGAGAAGAAGCACAGTGCAGAGAGAGACATCCTGATGCAGCTGGTCCAGGCAGCCGAGGGCAACCAGGCAGGGAGGGCAGAGGTCAGCAAGATGGCTGACGAGGTCAGTGACAAACTCCCGATGACTTGTACAACAATACTGTTGTGTTAGTGCATGCATTTTACATCAAAACAACGTAGAATTACCTCTGTTTGTATGTGAACAAGTAGTTTATCAACCAATATGTTTATCAAACATCCTATCTGCAGCATAATTTTCCATAGCCTGTTTTCCTGCAGCAGCAACATTGCTGCCTAATTCAGCACCAAGGACAGGGTCCGTTTTCTCGTAGCCACCTGTGTACTTATTTGTAGGAGAATTCAGACTTCTAGGAAGCCCCCGCGGCCGCACACCCTCAACCTTTTCTTGTAGAATTGTGTGTGACAGAGTTCCTTTTGCTCTGGATAACAGTGTCATGCTCCCTTTAACCAGGAACTGGCGGGTAATCTGGAGAGCCTCCGTCAGCAGCGTCAGGCGTGGCGACAGAAGGTAGCGGAAGGCGAGGAGGTTAGAGACGTCTCGGAACGAGCCAAGCTGCAGAGCGAGCAGAACCACTTCCTGGGGCAGGCCGTTCTCATCGCCATGGAAGGTCAGAGGTCATGACTAGATGCTTGTAAAGTATTGATATTGAGAATGAGAATGAACTTTTTTTTTTGTTCTTCAGTGCAAAGTCAAATGACCACTTCTACATGTAAGCATTGAGCTAGATGACACGACAGAGGTATGGCTACGCCAAAAGAATGAATGGGAGAGGCAGTGAATGTTTATTTGAAAGTTTTAGGATTGTATTCAGAAGGACAGCATATGATTGGGAGGGAGTTCCATAATTTTGCAGTCCGGGGAAACAACTGTTGCTGTAGATGGACTTTAAAACAGGAATTTGAACGGTGTGCCAATGTGAACTGGAGGCACACTGAGACTTTATTGCTCGTAGCTATTGTACTGTCCATGGCTCTTTAAGTGTTTGAATACCTGCCCTTCTTTTTACCCAGGAAAATGCAGAGAGCTGACTCCCCAGTTGGAAGGTAAGACACCGGAGGAGGTGACAGGCGAGGCCTCCGTGCTGCTGCTGGCAGAACTGCAGCAGAAACAGGAGGCAGAGGGGAACGCTCTCAACTCTGTCCTGTCAGGTTCTCTGGTAAGTTTCATGGAAAACGAGAAATAGTATGTAAATGAAGACCTAATTTGCATAAATGATTAGAAAATGCTATGATTCCATAATGGTTACTGTCAGGAATTTCACACTTAATGCATTTGGAAGTTAGGTGAAGGTGAACATCATTAAACATGATCAGGACCACATTTGCAAATTTTTGAGGAAATGCTGGAATAGCCTTCTTGTTAAAATAAGACTCATTGGGTGGAGAATATGATTGGTTGTAACTATGAAACTATAGCTGTCTTTGAAACAAATTGTAGATTCTGTTACGACCAGCATTTCATCTTGCATTGCTAATTTGTAGGAGGAGGATCTGCTGAAGAGCTTGAAGGATGACCAGCGTCGAGCGCGGCGGGAGGGTTGGCTGGACAACCTGGCTGCCGTGGTGCTGGGACAGACAGAGGACAGACCAGGCACGGCGGACAGCACGGAGGAGAAAGCCATCAGCGGGCAGGAGGAGAAACAACTGCAGGAACTGGACGATGAGCTGGAACAACAGAAACAGGAGCTCATCAAGAAAGGTTGGTTTTTCTTGTCTTGTCCTTTTTGTTGAAGTTCTCTTTGTTATTTTTGTGACTTTGAGTTTTGTTATTCTCTCCTGTGAGGATAAAACCATTGTTTCCAGATTTTGTGTTTCAGTTTTGAGTTTACACAATACCGTGTTTTACTCATTTTGTATGTGCCATGCTTGTTTTGTTTATAGGTTTTGTTGATAATATTTGGAAAAAATGAAAAGAATGAGTTTAACCATTCCTTCATCACTAACAAGTTACATTTATTAATACTTACCCCCTTTTCCAGACTCACCCCCTAATTCTACCCCATTTAAAGAAATCCAAAGAAGTTGTAAGTAGGAAGCTTTTGCATTCATTAAGCTAAGGTTCTTGAACAATCCCACTTCTGACAGGACTGCTGACTGATCACTCCACTGTGATGTTGTTCTGCACATGTTTTGTTTTCAGATCCCAATAAGAACCACAAAACAATTCAGTTTTATTGATAAAAGTTTGTGAGATAATGTATTGTCTTCTACACATGAAAAGTGGCTTGTGAAATGGCACAGAAGAGTGCTGTGGAATTTAAAGTTAAGTTTAATATGTACTGAAATAATTCTGTAATTCTGCCAAGTCACATAAATCTGCCAGTCTGAAAAATCTCTAATGCAACATTCTCAAGTACAATCCACTTCTGCATACATAAACTGTTCATATACTAGAGATCTCTCAAACACGCTAATGTTCAAAGTGGCAGATACTAGTATATGTAACCTGGCAGATTAATGTAATTAAGGTTATAGTTGAAAGCAAATTGCTGGGTCAACTTGTATAGACCTGCAATTGAGAAATGTCTGAAGACAAACTGCCTACCTTCCCCCAGGGCAACTGGGTGAGGACATTGATGTGGATGCAGCCATGGCTGAACTGGAGAAGCAGTACAAGGCAAAGAAGGAGGTGAGAAAGAAAGCTGTTTGATATACCATGTTGTTGATATGTCTTTTGTAAACAAGTTGGTTCAAGAAATTTTCCATAAAATTTAAAGTTCTTGAATGGAACAGGCTACAGACCAACTTTGATGTATCAATGTATGTACAGCAGAGACACTAGATGGTTTTGCTAAAAGCACCAAAAGAAACAGTATGGTCACAAACTTCTGAAACAGACAAAAATTGTAGCCTGGCTCCCACAGTCGCTTATGGTAGCGACTGTGGGAGCGGACGTAAATTCACCAGGATGATACCCAGGCTATAAAAATTTATGCACTGGCAGATTTCATCCATATCAACAACTTTAAATTTCTTATTTTTCTCCCAGGCGTTGTCCTCCGACATGGCCCGTCAGCGCGCCCAGCTGAAGGAGCGTCTGGCAGCACGGAAGGCGAAACGGGAGAACCAGATGTATGAGGAGGACATGGCGGCCGCCATGATCCAGCGCGCCTCGCAGCAGGCCGCACAGATCAACCAGATGGCTGCGGCCGACAAGGCCAAGCAGGGAGACAAGGTAGGGGGGCTAGGGACTAAAAATTTACAGTACTATCATAAGAGATCTGAAATGTATGACTCTTCTGATATTCAGTGCATGTACATGTATATAAGGCAAAGCAGGGAGACAAGGTTAACATGATTTTCAGCACCAAGGACAGGCCTGGTGGCTGAGATTAATTGTAACTTGATGTTGTAAAGCGTAAAGAGCAATTACTTATGAAGTGAGTTTAAAAGTTTATGAGTGTTATCCTCACCACTGTTTCTTGCTGTATAGGATTTACATGTCATAGATTTCAGCACCAAGGACAAGTCTAGTTGTGCAATGATGTGTTACTAGATTTTTTTAAGAGTAGGAATGTAACAAAGAAACAATTAACATTGATTTATTAAGGTTTGTGACTGTTGTTCTCATCTCTCTGTGCTTCTTACTGTTTCTCAGCTGCAAGAGAGACTGGCAGCCAGGCGTGAGGCCAGAAAGCAGGCTGCGGAGGCGAAGAAGAAAGAGGAGGAGGAAGAACAGAAGCGGAAGAAGTCGGAGAAGGGAGCCCTGCCTGTATGTGTCAGTTTAGTTGACACCTACTGTTTTGGATTAATAAAACATTGTTATAAAGCCTTTCTTATTAGAGTTCATTTTGTGAGAAAACATCAATGTTCATATGTTTATTTGGTTCATGTAACAGTCATTTCTTGAAGCATCTGTAGAAGGTAGCTAGCGGAAGAAAAGCGTTTTAACAATCATAACACAACAACAATAACAATAACAATCTTCTTCTCTCTACCCCAGCCTGGATTCTCCATGCAGCGTGAGAAGACTGTCATCAATGTGGACTTGTCCAAGGAGAAGCAGGATGAGATTTTGGAGTCGCTGAGGTCAGACAAGGAGAAAGCTGAGAGGAAACTACAGAGGGACAAAGAGCGTGCCTCTATTCAGGTACTGTCTTCCCTGTACATATGTTCTTGAGATGCATTTATGAACCTTTGTTGTAATTAAGGACAAACCTGAAAAAGAAACAGTTTGCAGTGCCAGTGTTGAAATCCAACAGAGAGGGAGTATAGTGCCAGCTAAACTACCTCGGGCTCAACTCCCCCGTAGCGGGTAGATAGGTGGGTGTAGTGCTCTTGGCTACTGAAGGAAACCAGCTAACAGCCCAATACTAGTCTGCTGAATGAGATGAGGACACAGTCACCATCAAACAAGATCTAAGTATTTTATGGAGGTCAGAGGTCTCAAGTTGTATTCTGGAGTTGTTTGCTGATTGGTTGACTGGTTGTCTGCAGGTCCAAGCGAAGCTGGAGCAGCGCAGGAAGACGAGAGTCAGTGCTGCTCAGGAGGTGTTCACTCTGGGAGAGAGACAGAAGACCATCTTAGAGAAGACACAACACGTAAGGATCCTTTTTCTTTGAAATCCACAATAGCTTTGCCTGTCAACAACTATCTGTTCATTTCTTCTTCCATATTCCACATATTATTGGGAGGAAATTCCATGCTGAAAGCTTCTTTCCTAGAACTATACCTTTGTGGAACAAGGTCCTTTGTTTGTTTCCTTACGATTGCTTTCCTGGTATGATCTATAACAAAACATGATGACAAAACATCAAAGCGCTTACTTGTTTTATGGTGAATTGAAGTAAACTGGAAAGGTCGACATTTGCTTGGGAGCAAATACAGCATATTTCACTCCATCTCTCTCCCCAGTCCAAAATGTACTGATTTATATCAACCTTTTCCATTCAGTATCCCCATGATTGTAACAATTGTTCTCTAAACCCCCATACAGTGCTTTTCAGTAACAGTTATGTGTTAAAACTCGATCGCAGGAGGACCGGCAGCGGCAGCTTACGATGGTGAAGGAGCGTCTGGACAAGGTGAAGTACGAGCGCACCATGACCATCAAGGCGCGACAGCGTGCCAGCCAGGCCAGGTTTGAGGAGATGCTGAACCCGCAGGAGGCGCAGGCGCTGTCCCGCGACGAGAAGATGAACCGCGCCGCCGAGGAGATGATGCGAAAGTTCCGCACAGACGAGGCTGACGTCAAAAAAGGAGTCAAGAGTGTAAGTGTTGAAATGTGTATTTAAAGAAATAGAAAACATTTAAAGGAACAGAAAATATACTCCAAGCAGATAGCAATAACACAATAATGCAGAGGAGATGATGTGAAAGTATTGCAGGGATGAGGCCGATGTAAAGAAAGGAGTCAAGACTGTAACAAGTGTTTAAAAGTTCTTTCCTCTCTCTTAATATAGGTTAATCCAAAAAGGAAAGTCTTGAACTAAGCTTTGGAATCCGTGATAAACAGTCATGGCTTGTTAAGTTGATAGCTAGTATGATATTTTCTTTAGGTGACATCCTCAGAAAATCATGTTTCTTCCATGAATTCTGATTAAGAATCAGTGGTAAAATCTGTTATTCCTCTGTGTCTGTAACCAACTTCTAACTCATATCACTTGTTAACCTCATTCCAAGTCTTTTCCAACTAAACCATACTTGGTCCTTTTCTATTTACAAGCTACAAGATGCGTTTCCTAAAGCATTTAAGGATGTCAGAAAGAGGCCTCCAACTCCCCATGCGGTAACTGATGATGTAGTTTATCCCCACTCTAAATGTCACAAACTGCACATTTTCTGCCATTACCACACAGCACAGTGCCTGTTTTGCTGTATTCAGTGCTCTTGTCACATATATGTGGATGCTAACTACATGTATTTCTGTTGGTGTTTGTTGCAAGGTGCAGGATGGCACTTCTGAATCCTCTTGAGCCAGACTTTCTGTGGTACAAATGTATACTGAAGGTGCTCCGTGTGATTTGTGCCTTCGTTTTGCCAACTTCTTGATTAGAAATTTGCCCTGTGTTTTCACTTCAGTACTCACTTTCACACAAACATGACTCTCTGTTTGCAACCATGATATGAGAATAACCCTAAGCTGTATTACTTTCACTAATTATTCTAAGAAAATAATTCAGGTCCAAGTCACGTTTAGCATGCTGGTGATAGATAGACTAACCCAAAAAGTTAAAATCATTTTGATTGTAGTAAAAGAAAACAATATACTATAGACTAGCTGTGACATAATTGACATTATAGAACTTTTTTTGTCTCTTTGCATGCATGGGAAACTCTGTAGTATTCTGTTTGCATTGGTTTTGATTTCAGGTTGCAGTTGGCTTGGTTTGGTTTGAGAACGACTGGCTTTGGTTTTGTTTTGTTTGAAAATAAGTTAGTTTGTCAAGTTTTTTTCTCTTGTTCTGTAGAATAATTTTTAGGTTTGATTTGGCATGTTCATTTTGCTTTATTTCAGCTCATTTTACCTCAGTAGCGTTTTCATTTAGAGCTTTATCTTATCTATTTAAGAGAATTGGATGTGCCCAAATTTTCAGCTGTCAACAGGCAGTGTTGTAGCTACAGTTTGAACCATTTCCATACCTGGGTCGTTTCCTTGATTCTTGGTCATTTCTTAATTATTTTATAACAAGTGGGCATCGGAAAAGACTTTTAAGTAAAATTTTCTGTTTTTGTGACGCCCAATAATTATTAAAATTCACCTACAGAAGCTAAATATACCAACTGAAGATGCACAATTTCCATCCAGACTATGTTTTTTTTTAAATAAATCATTTTTAATCTGAGAACAAATAGATTAGACTAATGTGGCCTCATCGTTGTTGACGTCTCATTTGAAGTTGTGTGTTCCCCACAGGCCTTTACCTTTGGTGACAGTGCAGACAGTGACTCAGCTAACAGCGGTGCAGAGGAGGGCGGGTCCACCAGCGAACAGGTCAGGCCGAAAACACGGGGACGGATGACGGACCAGGAGAAACGGAAGTTGATGAAGGAACGCTTCGAGAAGAGAAAGAGGGAGAGGAATCAAGAAGGGACAAAAGAAGAACCTGAGGGATGAAAAGTAGTAAATAAGTGCCTTGTAGGATTGTGGATTGAATACCAATCCAGTGTGGTATTCCCTTTTCATGCAATTTATCCAATGAATCACTGTTGAGTGCCTTTTAATAATATCATGCTTCACCTCTCAGTTGAGGATGACAAAAGAAGAGACAGAAATTATATTGAAGTACAATGTATATACATGTACATGTTAAAGGAAATGATGATAATTGGTATACTTCTACAGTAAGAGAGCTAAATATTGAAAACAAAACACTCATTTAAGTCTATTAGAATTATTGGATTGATATTGTATCAGATGTTTGCTGGAGCAAGATATTGTATGCCTTTTACCACTGTGGTAGAGATTCCCTTTCTTACTTTGATATAGCTATCTTTTTATATCTTGGACTAGATTTGACTTTATAATCATGCACACGTGTGACGCACAATTAAAACTTATACAGGATAAAGGACACAGGTGCAACACCTTTACTATGCAATATTAGAAATAGATAACGGATTGTCAAAGTTTCCCATAGTGTTACAAAAATGTAGATGAAAAATATAACAGAAACATAGCAGATTCTTTCACCTAGTAGCATATTGTGCTTCAATAATCTGCTGGATATTCTACTTGTGTCACATTTGCCTTATTTTAATAGCTACTGAAGATTTTTTAATACAAATCAAATCAAAGTGATATGCACATTTTAAAACCAGAAATGACTTTAAGTAAATGTACACAGTCCTCGCTACAGTATTTGTATATAATGGATGGAAAGAGCAGGTGCTCAAAATAGTTCAGGATATATTTCTTCAAGAATTGTTTCAATATTACAGGTCTTGAAATGATTGTATACATTCGGTGGTTGTGCCTTAGAGTTTCCGATTTTCACCATGTGTTACATTTTGCACAATAAAAAAGTCACATTTGCAATAAATGTCCTTGTCTTGACTTACTTAGTGTACGAAAGTTGTAGGTACTTTTAAAGGTCTAAGCCATAACTGTGCAAAAAAACTCAACTACATTTTTGTAGTTCTATTTGCCTGCCTTTTAAGAAGAAGTAATACTAGTATGTGTTGTTTTCTGATTGGTCTCTTGCTGTCCCGGTTCACTGATCAGAAAACAACACGTGATATTAGCCCCAACACCGTCCATTTATACACCGAAGGCGCTAGACAGGGGAAAACAAACACATCTTCATCCTTCATTAGTTGGCTACAACACTGTTATGATCAAAGTTGCGACCTATTGTATTTAAATGTAATACTAATTACTATAGGAGTATACATTGTGTCGGATGATGTAACCCGCTAACCTGCTCAAAAGACCGGATATGACATCATGCGCACTTTCCAGAAGTTTGTCTTTACCTGGAAAGACAGGTTGTTCTCCCTCCAGACTAGTCGTGATTAAAACTGAGTCGTGGCAGAGAGAAAAATAACTGCGCCATGAAGACCGCGCTGTTTCTGGCCCTGCTGGCGGGCACACTGTTGTCCACTAGCGGGGAAGGCAAACTGAAGGCCACCAGGGCCAAACTGCACACCTTACGGGAGAAGGTGAGCCTTCTGGGAGAGATCTTGGAGCGCACCGAGCGGGTTGCCGACATGGCTGCGCGGCAGGTGGGGTCGGGAGACGGCGACAGCGGAGAGAGCGAAGAGAGCGGGGAAGACGACGGGATAGGAGGACCACTGGCGGAAATGCTGGAGAGGTTCTTCTACGGGTTCGTGGGTATGCTGGAGAGCATGATCAAGGGAGAAAACTTCCAAACGAAGGTCTCTTCCCTGTCCGACCTGTTGGCTGGTCTGCCGAGGAACTACAGTAAAGTGACCCACAAGTAAGTCACACACACGTACTACAAGTTAGACTATATTTCGCAAAGGTATCCGCCCCTTGAAAATGCATCTACTAGTCACTCACTGACTCAGTAAGCAGATCTTCAATGCTACGCTCCCTGTATGATGCACTCCGCACTGAATATATGTTTGCCTACCTGGGGGTGTTAAGAGAGCTCTTAAAGACACTGTTTTTGGAAAAATTACGTGTCCCAGCGGACACATATTATGTAGGTTACCTCCGCGAAGAGCTTCGTCAGGCCCGTAAACCATTTGATATCAGAGTTTTTTTTTGTGCAAAAACAAGTTCTTCCTTTTCCCCGCTGAGTGCCTGACAGGTGAGTAAAAGTACTTGGTTATGTATAAACCAGAACACACTATGGTCAGCAGGCAAAAATGTACCGCCTACTGTCTGATTACAACATCTGGCTAATTTTCTATGCTAACCACGTACGGCATTGCCTTTGACTGTCACGACCTGCAAACTCGCGGAGCTGTCTTTCTTTCTGAGTCAGCGAAGCGAAGACGCCAGACTCATAACATCGCCAGCTCTGGTATGTGGCTGTTTCCAACTGCGAAACTGAGCAGGGGTGAATAAGATTTGCACCTGTTTTGTTAAGTATTCAATTACAGCCAATGATCAAACACAAACAAACAAACAAACAAACACAGACAAACAAACAAACAAACACACACACACACACACACATGCGCGCGCGCACACAGACACACACAGACACAAACACACACACACACACACACACACACACAGACACACAATTACAGACACACACACACACACACACACACATGCATACGAGTACATCTATAGTGGATATTTTCTGCAAATACGACTTCATACAATTTCGACAATTGAACACCTAACATCATAAAATTCGATTATTATTTCCTGTACAGCTCTGAGCAGCAAGGCAACACCACCATCAACACGACCACTACCGTGGAGAAGTCCCAGGGTAAGGACGGGAGCTTCAGCTTCGGGCACGTGAAGACCGTCGTGGACGGGCCCGACGAAAAGTCTTTCTCCAGCATCGTCCAACAGGTGGGCACACAACGTTCTCCCTAGACGAGCACTTACTTTCTACATTCTCAACTCATGTCTAGTATTACAGTCTATTACAATAGCCCCGGCTACCAGGCTTCGGGAAGCGACTGGAAAGAGCAGCGGCAAACTGTTATCTTAGGGCTGACCAACTCCCCTGGCATATCATCTGTCTATTTGGACAATTTTCCAGCCGCCTCCCAAAGCTTGGTTCGGGCTAGCATGACAATATATGTATGAAATGGTACGCAGTGAGGTTTTCGAGTTTACTTCACCTGTGTGGACATATTATTTACGATTTATTAGAATATTGGCATAATTAGAGTGTGTTAATTGTTATCTAAAAGTAGATTAGTCTCTAGGAATCAGTAGATATTAGCAGTAGTTCAGTATACATATAGGTACAAGTTGCCATACATTGTACCTGCAACAATTGTGGAATAAAGCTCTTCTTCTGTATATGCTGACAGATGTTTCAGAGCGCGTCAGGTGCCAGTGGTGGTGACAGCACCGCCGATGAGAACACCGCTACTGACAAACCACCCAGCGCCTCTGCGACTCCGAAAGCTGAGGCCACCCCCACCCCTCAGGCTGAGGCCACCCCGACTCCAAAAGCTGAGCCCACCCCCACCCCACAGGCTGAGGCCACCCCCACCCCGAAGGCTGGGGACGAGGGCGCCAAATCGGTCCGTAATCTCCAACTCTTGGAAATTCTGGAGCTTCTGCGCAACGCCAAGACCGAAGGAGATAACTAGCTAATGTTCAGAAGTAGCCACCACTGATTAACAAGGAAAACCACTGATTTGTTGCCCTACCGTTAAGATGCTGATCGTGGATTTCGAAGAGTTGGTTTTAAGATGAGGTGCAAAGAAACGAAAGATCTGTTACCTCTAGACAGTCAATTGCAATAGCACTGGGTTGGCTAGCTCACTTCTTATTGATGACAGAGACGGACAGACCCCACTCTAGACAGACCCATAAGGTCGTAAATACAGTGTAAGGTTGCATGTGAGTGGGTGTCAGTAATAATAGGGATTGATAACTTTTTCTTACGTCTTTTTACTTTTTTTTTACAATTGATAACTTTTTCTTACGCCTATGGAGTAGATGATGATACATTACGGCACGTGCAGTTAGAACTTCCGCTCGAGCTTTTTTTCACCTTAGCATTTCTTGTGAGACAATCTGTTATCCATTCCTAGACCTACGTCATGTTGCTGTATAATTTCCTTCTCAAGACAACGAAGTATAGAATAGAATACAGTAATCTTCAGGTAATGAAAGGATGTTGTCAATAGCAATTACTAGTGTACTCTCTGATGTAGGGTTCTTAAGGATTCTAGTATCTGTATGTATGGAATCTATATTCAGGAAAGTTCAATACTATCTACAAACCTATCGAATATAATTATTGTACGAGCCGAGGAGCTGTGTGTAACACACTGTGTGTAACACAGGCGATGAAAGGATGTTGTTAATGGTAATTATGTTCTGTAATGATTGGGAATTCTAGTATCTGTACTTATGGAATCTATATTCAGGAAAATTCAATACTTTCTACAAACCTTTTCGAATATAGTTGCTGTATGAGCCGAGTAACTGTGTGTAACACGCATGTTTCTTCATCCTGTAAACAACTGGTTAGTACCTTCAGGCAACCCAGACTGATTCGCAAGGGAGCTCAAGTATAACATCTTGGCAAGTGTCATACCTGTTGCCATACATTGTACCTTGTGCGATTGTCAAGCAATAAAATTAATTCCTTCTATAAAAATATGTAAACATCTCATAAAATAGATAAATCTCTAATGATCGTGGCCGATTCGAATTTAACATGGGAATCTATCGTCGATGGATCGGGGTGTTATATCCATAACCGTGCTTTATCCATAACCATGCTCAGGTACGGTTCTGGATACTAGTGGTTCACACGTATCCAGAACCGTGCCTGGAGCAAATCTACGTTCTTGGATACGCGGAAACTATGACCAAAACCAGCATGCCTGATCAATCCTAACCCTGGACCCATTTAAGTATGGAACTAGATAGGCACGGTTCTGGAGCATTGACATAAAAATCGTGCCAAGCCGTCTCCATGGTGATACTATTTTGGAAATAAAACCCAACCAGAACGCTCATGAGTCATGACCCTATAGCTCCGGGCGATAAATAACTTCTCCGCGCATGTGCACAACTTGGAAAACAACACATGCTTCCGCCCAAGTCCCAGACAATTATCTCTGCAGTGATAGTATATGACTCGTTCGACACGACTGTCATATAATCAGTTAGCAGCATCTTTCGCCATGGCAGGGGTATACGAACAGGCCCAGCCAGTGAGAAACCCAAACTGTATAATTGAAGCGGGACACACTGGTCCAGGCGTGCGGTTCCAAACAGAGGAACGCACTGACAGTCGTCGGGTCCTGATGGGAGAAGAAAAGCAGAGGCTGGCCGGAACACCCGTCGAAGTTGGCCGAAAGGCAGGAGAGGGTGTCATCTTGGAAAGGTCTTCTCCGCGCCTTTCAGAAGACATGTATGAGGAGGCGCAGCCGGTACAGTTTCATATGGACGGTGCATGTTCATCTTCAGGTTAGTACTTCAGGTTAATCACAGCAGTTTTCAAGATCAAATGTGTGACATGATATCTTCTGTAGTTTTTGGACATTATAGATAGTGGACGTTTTCAATAAAGAAAAGGAAAATAAGATATGGACAGAAGGATCATAGGAAAAGGAAATAATGGCGTAGCAATGCCGTAGTGGAGCCATACGCAGTACTGTCCAACGAGATGCTTTGTCCCCAGTCTGAAGTCTCCCATTTTACCTTTAATTGAAGGCAGGTGTCGAGAAGGAAGACAGAAACAAACTACTAGTACATTCTGAAATCTAAATTTGTATACTCTTTCTAGACGACACCCAGGACAAGCCGACGCTGCGTGACCACCTGTTGCGTCACTTCAAGTCTCGCTCCAAACTCTGTCTGATCCTCACCGCGTTCTGCACCGTGATGCCGTTCATCTTCCTGACGTCAGGCCTGGTCATCGGCATGTACGTGGGCGCTCGGCAGTCCCAGGGACTAACGGTAGGGCTGTAGCCTGGTTACCAGACCTATTCTTTAGAGCTACCGAGTCATACAACCTCTTCTATTTGCGAGGAGGATGTAGGACTCGAAAGCTAGAATATGTCTGGTAACCAGTCGCTAAGTTGTCACCGTGTTTTCTGTGTTATCTCGGAGCGCAGCCCGGTAAAAGTTTGTCTGTTCAACCATGTTTCATCATCTTCCCTCAAGATTACTTCATCACCCCAGCTTGTCTGGCAAAGTACGACCGCTTAACTGCACACGCGAATGTCAGGCAAATTTACACGTGTGCATACGGCCACGGTGAGAAAATATCAATTTCTTTAGTTGCCTTACACTAGTTAACAGTAGTTTATTGTTTCGTACAGTTTCAAAAAGTAGCGCAAGTACAATTTTCTGTAGAACTCATATGAAAAATCTAAGGCTTTGATAGGCAGATAATGTTGCACAGCTTTGTTGTTTTTCCTAGTCATTTTACCTTTTTTTACCTAGTCATGCAGGGACATATTGAATATTCCTAAGCAATTTCCTTGAGTGTCTGGATGCCATCCCCTCGTCATGAATATGGAATAAATGTAACATGTTTGGCATTGAAAACCGTTGCCATGGCGATGGTTTCTTAAATATTTATTGGTATTGAGCCATTGGTGAGTTCGTTCTATGATATGGCTGAGGTTATTGTCTGGGTGTTTTTGATATGGTTAATTTTGCTCCTTAGGCTCAATGTTTCTGCTAGGATGCCATTTAATACTGTATTCTCCAAGCAGAGATTTAGGCTTCAACCGCTTAGTTTTGGAGTGTTTTTAGGCGTTGTTATAAGGAATTCCTTTTTGTACTGTTTTTTTTAAAGCCAATGGTAACTGTTTGGCCAATGGAATACAGCCTGGCAAATTTGATACTGTCTTTCCAGCCACCAAAAGATTTGCTTGGAAATGAGCCATTTAACCCTCATCCGTACACTATTTCGTGTCCTGTCTTTCCTTTTCGTGGGAAAGTTGGACTTAGGCCGTCGACTCTTTGCCCTGTTCATTCATTCATTTCATTATGTCTTATGAATACTAAGCTAGTAAGCAAAAATGATTTCGTCCAACGCTTTTCCCTCAGATACACAAGAGTACACAGGATAAGAGTAAGAATGCAGGCAGTGTGGATGTTACAAGATGGGTGGACACCAAGCGCGAAGACACTACCAGGCCACTCTCGATGTTTCACGAACCGGATTCAACTGATGCAAAAAGTAAATTTGTTAGCTTCCCTTTCCAAGGAATGGAGGCCGTTGAGTGACAGAAGCTGGATTTGTATAACTGCTATTCCATAATAGATTGAGTATGATCCATGACGTAAAAGTATTATTTACATGTAACTTATATTGCAGACCCATGATATCCTGCTACATGCATGTCTATATATAAATTCGCTATATCTTTTTAGCGTTCCACATCTAACTGTTTCAGTGTTGTGTATCTAATTAAGTGCTCGAAAGGTAACTAGACAATTAGTATGAACTGAAGGACACCAATGAAATGTATCAATGAGATTCGTTTGAACCTCTTAAGATTTTTGTTGCTCAACACTCAATGGACAGGGGGCAATATCTGCACTTCCACAAGACTTCATTGCTCTATGTACAATGTAGTGTTTTTAAAGTTTTCTACTCTTAAGTTTCTCATGTGTCATGCAGATTGTCCAAAGGGCTACACAAAGTTTCGAGGAATCTGCTACAAGGCGTTCAACCACACCACAGCCGACTGGCGTTCGGGCCTCTACTGTTTGTGGGACGCCGGCGGCACCCTCGCCATGCCCCGCGATCGGGAGATCAACGACCTGCTGGTCAGCCTGAAGAATTCGGTGGACCGCACTGCTCGGTTTCGGTTCGGCCTGCACGATAGGCTATTGGAGAACAACTGGCGTTGGGTTGACGGCAGAGGACTGGGCACTGGTGAGTTATATGACAATGACAATGATGTTTATTGCATATTCATGCCCTTCCGGGCTAAATAACATATTGGATGATACTAATTACTAGTAAGTACATAGGAAATTGTATGAGAAGAAAAAAAAAACAGCTACTGTATACTATAATTTATCTAATTCTAGAGCTTACAATAGCTTACTAGTTTCTTCTCTCCTCTTGAAACATGCGTATACGAATTCAGAGTTTTTCAATCACCAGGTATTTAGACGATGACATTATGTATGTGAACAGTTCGTCATTCGTTAACTTTGTAAATCCCTGGCCCAGTTTAATAGTGTTAAAGAGAGAAATGCGTAGATCTCTGTACAATGGGCATTCCAGGACAAAATGTTTTTCATCTTCTATACAATTATTTTTACATAGTTCACAGAGCCTATCATTCGGAGGAGTCCAGCTGTATCTACCAGTTTCAATGTGCAGTGGATGGTCGCTAATTCTTATATATAATTCTTATATATGAATGATGTATCATTCTGTATGTCTGAGCAGTAGCAAGCAGATGTCACCCTTATGCATAGCCTGGTTACCAGGTCTATTTTAGATCATTTTGGCTCCCGAGTCTTTATCTTCTCCTATTTTGCGGATAGACTCGAGAGCTAAATGAAAAAAAAATTCGAAAGCATCAAATTTGCCAATTGGATACAGCCTGGCCAATTTGATATTGTCTGGCCTATTAGATAGTCTACTAGATACTCTCTACGATTTTGTCCCGTTAACATCTGCTTGGAGAGTCGAAGTCGGAACTTGTACAACGTGTTAAAATTGCAACATAGACATTTAGCAGTTATAATAGCATCGTCGATTTTTGGTTATCATAGGTGAGTTCAGTGACTGGGGACCGGGTGAGCCTAATGACTTCGACGGTAATGAAGACTGTGGCGAGTATTTCGAAGCACTGAAAGGGAACTGGTGGAACGACGCACCATGCGAGCTCAGACGGAAATTCATCTGCGAAGTTAGGCCCTAGTCTCCACCCCTTAACGCAGGTCGAAAAACAGTAAAATTTAACGAAATAGGGAGAATAGACTCTACTTTGCCAGGGGAGTTTGGAAATGTTACCCTTAACGCGGCTCATTCGCCTGCCCAATTGTTGACCCTTTCTTCCCCGCATTGTAGTAAGACATACACGTGTAAGGTGTATGGATAGTACTGTACTATCCATACACCTTACACATGTATGTCTTGACCTAAGTTTTACTAGTGCTGTTCAATCGATATTTCAAATATACTTACTATACTTGTAACTCAAATTCAAGTTGTAAAGAGCTACATATAGATTTTCCTTATGTCTATATCGACATTAATTTTTGTGACATTTTCAATGGTTTTGTCAGATTTATATGATGCCTAGGATGTGTAAAAATAATAGGGAAATAGTGGTGACGATGATCAGCAAATCTTAAGATTTTCCACCTAATCAAAATAGTAACCAGCTGTATAATAACAAGTGAAGACAAAGTCAGGAAGACGCAATGAAAGGCAGTTTTAACAATCTATTATTAGGACCAACATTTGCATCCTGGTACAAATATACTACATACATGTATATATAACAAATATGCAACAACTGGGTGTCAAATAATGCATATAAAAATAATACTTAGGTGAAAAACAGACACAAAGTACAATATAAAGTAGCAGGTAGCATATTAACAAATATGTACAGGGAAGTAGTCATCAAAGGAATGTTCTGAAAAGAATTAATGTCTAAGTTTAGCCTACTAACATTTAAAACCTCGGCTGAGTTTATGACATTTCACGTTTACATATAAATACTGACACATGGTCACTTAGCCATTAAAAACTGTAAACATCTATCAACTTACTGCTAAGAGCAATGTCTAACAATATTGTAAATATGTGGCTGAGAGACGAGGCCTACATGTATGTCAGGTGTTGTTCAGGTAGAAGTTCTGAATAGTCTTCGACAAGACATGCGACTTACTGACTAAGTAGGAAGTTGTAAGACTTGTAAGAAAATACTAGTAAGTTGTAAGATTGTTGTTGTAAGAAAATAATTTACAATGGTCATGACAAGTGTTTGGGACACTTACATACCTAAAGTATATATTAATAAGTAGCCACTCCACTCTAGCGTCAAGTACATGTAGAATTTTTAAGGGAAATTATTCATTGATTGGTCGTTGTTGAACTTCACTTCTTTTGACAACTTCATACATGTTACAACGTTTTTGGTCTACTATTCTGGACCCTAGAGACTCCTAACTCTTAGCATGCTACTGGACATCCCAACAATTCAATGCGTTTAACCTTCTCCCTGCTGATTACGTAACTCTATACTCACTTCCACCATGGTATACAAGCCTACATCAGCAGAAAGGAGGTTAAACTTGTAAACTACACCTTAACTCTTTTTTCCATGTTATCCCAATCACTTAAACCACTGTTAACAGCATATTGTTCACTCAGTACATTACAGTATTACCGGTACAACCTGTTACTTACCGGCACTTCTACATTTACCAGTGTCTTGACATGGCTAAAGGCTCTTCTTCCAATATGTTACACGAACGCACTTCCATATACCTGTACTATGGTTTCCTCACTCTTATATCAAGACATTGGCACACCTTGCATTACATACATGTATCGACTTCCAGAGTTAATGTCAGAAAGGAATTACATATTCATCTAAAAATGGAATAGTCAAGCACATTTTAGGTTGAGATTCAATCATTGGATGACTTTGTATGAAGAATATGCACATACTATTCTAAATGAACTTCTTATTGAGGTTGCCTTGGAATTTGTGGAAATCCATGATCAGAATGCATGTTTAAATTGCATTCCCTATCTAAAGCACCAATCTGAAGAATTCCTAGTTTGCAGTTCATAAAATCCCTAAAACTGGAATGATAGGATGTTAACCAGCATTGCAAAATAGTTAGAATTAGTACATCGTGGCACATTACATTATACACTGTACAAGCCTACATGGTATTCTAAAGTTTAGCTTACAAAGCTCACAATGTGTTTACCAAAAGAATCCACTAGTACCAGTTCTCACTTTTAAAGATGCTCACATTATAGTGATGTAGAAAGTACCGTAGTCACTGTTTCTCCCCATCATAATTAATAATAGTACATCAAACATGTTTTACTGGAAGTGATGAATTGCAATAACTGTGGCATTGATGAGCCAAGCAAGAAAATGCCTGGAAGCCTGAGATGTTATATAGCTCTAAATAGCTATACCTAATACTGATAGTACCTCAATACCTGTTTCCTTTGGAATTTGGACCAAATGGCTCCACATGACTGTTACCTTAACTAGTAAGTTAATAAATGTATGTCATTACAGATCTAGCTACCATACAAAGCATGGAAAAAAACTGTATAGGGAACACACCTTTGTGCTTCCCCTGTCACTTTTATATACTTTCCCAAGTCATCCTCTTGGCAACTATGATACTGAACTGTACACAATGGCTCACTTCCTATGGTTCCATGACTTAGCTTCAACTATTGTAATATGTACAGACACATCCTAAGTACCTTCAGCTATAACTGTCTTTACCCAAGATTACAAAGTTACAAAACATGACTCTTCCTCTCTCCAATCTTCTGGCATGTTGTCTTCGAATGTAAATAAGTATGCAACTTCACAGCAATTAGCTTCTTTCACATCACATAAGGTACTTAAACAGCAGTTACATCATTTCCTTAAAAATGTACCACTTGTGGCTTTGAATAACTTTTCACAGTCCTCAGGTCCCATTCAAGTGCAACATATTCTCCACACACTTAAAAACAATAAAATCACAAAATCATGACTTCAACATGAGACCTCCTTATTTACATGTAACTGGTAGTCAACAAAATTTAAAATGTTCTCCTTCAATCTTTCCACCGTCTTGTGCTACACCTCTGTGACCTGAGATTTTAAAATGTCTGATGGTGTATTTTGTAATTAATTGCACTCAAGTTGATAGCACTGTGGTTTACAGACTGTTTGCTTGTAAATGTGCATGATGTTAAGAGAATAAAGAAACTGGATGAAGTCTCTACAAAAGCATCCACTAGATTTCACCAGTGTTTGAAAAATAAAATCTGTCTTTCATCATTTGTCAGTCACTGAGGAAAGACAGTGGCTACTATCTGAATTATCTCACTTTTTAGACACTGTTTCACTTATTCTCAATCAAACAATGCAGTATTTAACCCGGGTGCCTAACCCTTATTGATGTGCATGATGATGATGATTGGCACAACGGAGCAACATTAAAGTGGGGCTTCACAAGTCTATAACATCCTTTTCTATTGCAAATCCGTTGATGGCATCACAGACGTGTCCCAGTTCAGCCTGAACGCTGACTGGGGAGGACAGAGGCTCTCCACTCAGGGCCTGACTCTCCTGCCCCTCCCCCTCCCCCCGGTCGTACATCTCATCTCTCTCCCTCCTCTGAGGATCGCTGAAGCTTCTGCGCAGGGTGTCCTGTCTGCTGCTCTCCCCACTTTGCGAGTCCTCTCCATCTAACTGTGAATACCCCTGCTTGGAGGGGTTGGACCCCAGAGAAAGGCTGGACCTGGAGAACTTGGGCAAGGATGTCAGAATTTTCGGCTTGTTTTTCGCGCCTCCCACCGGATTCTTTTTGTACTTGGGATTTCCCCCGACGGCCCCAAGCTCGGTCATGGATCTGCTTTTGGAAGGGGACTGGGTTTCTGAGGAGGGTCCAGTGCTGTCACCGCCCTTGTTATCAGTCGTACTAAGTGTCAAAAGAGAGGTTTCGCCATCAGAGTCACTCTTACCCGACCCAAAGTCTCGCAAGGTGACTCCTAAGCTAAACGTGCTGCGGCTTTTCGCTGGTGTGTACATGTTTGTGAAGACATTATCTATACTCCGTCTGAAGTTTAACGGAGAGGGTGGCTCAAAGTCCAAGTTGCCATCTAGCAGGGGAGCATCTATAAGTGAATTACTAGGTGAGTTACTGTTAGACTCACTGGGTGTCTCATCTGAGTCACGTTGGAAGATTTCGATGTCCACCACGTGCTGGGGACTGTCCACATCCGCATAGTGCGCCGGACTGTCGAAGTTGGACGCCTGACGAGAACTATCAGCATCAAGGTACTCCTCTGAAGTCTCCATGTCCACATAATGCCGGGGGCTGTCCACGTCAGTGGCGTAGTGTTGTGGACTGGTGGTGTTGGACGTCCCCTCTGCCTCTGACCCGGTCTGAGCCTCCAGGTCTTCCTCATACTCCTCCTCATCTCTGGTGTCCTGCTCACTGCTGGCAAAGTTATCGTAGGTGGTGGTGAGAGTCTGCACCTCTATGTTCTCCAGTATCTCATCGTCAGTGGTGGGATTGTCCTCGACGATGATGCTTGCCTGAGAGATGGAGCCCTGCACGTCGCTGGGAGCCATGGTGATCATGGGAATCATCTCCGCGATGTCTTTGGTCCCCTGGGGGTTGTGGATGTTGCCCAGGTTGCCGTCGCTGTGCGTCATGCACGAGAACTCGCTGTAGTGGTGGGCGTTGCCATCCGGCAGATCCAGCTCAATCTTCTCCCCTCTGTAACAACACCTGTAACATCGGGGTAAGCGGGGTCATTATGTGATAGATACTCCTTGTTGTAGAACTTTTTGATTTCCTATTACTTATGTTCTTTTCATATGGTGACCCCTTGTCTATATTTTGTGCATGCTTTGATTTCTTCTGGATGGTTTTACTTTATGCTTTTGTTCTGTTAGATGTTTGAATAAAAAAAAAATCTACCACATTCTACAAACTACATTCTGATGAGTAAAAAAAGATATATTTTTTTTCATTTTGGTGACATTCCTGATTTGTAACAGTGGCAGAAAGTAGCTAGAGTAAAAACAAACAAACAAAACAGTACCTGTAACAGCAGTAGCAGCATCTGCCGTAGCAGGGGTCGCGAGGGCGCCCGTCCTTGTGGAAGCGGAACGGCTGCGTTGCCACGTAACTCATCGTGACGCACATGAAGAACTCGCACAGGCGGAACGCCGTCTGGAAGCCCCACCAGGGCCACGGTTCCGGCTGCTTGTAGAATATCCCAAACACTTCCACCATGGCATACACCTGAAGTAAGGAGCACAGCAGCCCCAAAATCGCGGTGACTAGGGTCACTTTGACGGCAGTTCCCAGGCGGGTTTTCGCCTTCTTCTTGATGGGGTTTATCCCCGGCAGCTTGGACTTGCTGAGGCTCATGCGCTGCAGTTCCTTCATCCTGTGCCTGGCGCTGCGGTACAGTCTCCTGAAGATGAAGAAGTAGGAGAAGGCCAGGATGATGCCCCAGATGGCAAACACGCCCTGGCACACCAGCATGAGGATCTTTGCCGTCCCGAGGAACCCGATGATGAGATCCGTTGCAACCGACAGCCCGAAGTGGAGAACGATGATGGAGACCATCACGCAGGTCTGGTAGACTTTGGGTGACATCGCCTGCATCTTCGTGGTCTGTAGTAGGGCCAAATACAGCAGGCAGAACGCAGAGGTCATGCACGGGAAACCGACGCTGAACAGGAAGTAGGACAGCGCTGGATGGAGCAGCTTCAGGGAGTTATACGCATCCACAAACATGTAGACTGCCCGCGATGCACCCATCAGGAGCATGAGGAAGTTCAGCGCTAAGAAATATCCCATACTCAGCAGATGCTTCCTGGTAAGTCTGACCATGCTGACGAGGGAGTAAAGAGCAAGCAGAGCAAACAGACCACCGATGGTGTAGATGTGGACGAACCACCAGAACCGCCAGGTGTCCTTGGCCTCGTCCCACTTAGGTTCAGGCTCGGCCCAGGGTATGTGGTCCCAGCCCATTCCGAATGGATCGTTCGGCTCACCCGTGGGCTCTGCTTCCGGCTCAGCTTTTGGCGTCCACTCTAGATTGGGATTGGGTTTCCATGGAGGGGCTCTCTCTGCGGTGGGAGATGGCTCCGTCTCTGGGACTGGAGGAGGGTAATTTTCAGAAGTGGGGGATGGTTCAGCGTTTGGAATTTGAGGAGGGTTGGTCTCTGGGGTTGGGGATGGTTCAGCATTGGGAATCTGAGGAGGGTTGATGTCTGGGGTGAGGGATGGTTCTGCGACGGGAATTTGAGGAGGGTCGGTCTGTGGGGTTGGGGACGGTTCTGCAGCTGGAATTTGACTATTTTGAGGTGAGCTGGTCTCGGGTGTGGGGGAAGGCTCTGCCTCTGGGACTTGCGGAGGGTTTTGCTCAGGAGTCGGAGATTGTTCTGCCTTTGGTGTAGTGGACGGGACTACTTCTGGGGTTGGAGATGGTTCAGATTCTGGAGTTTGAGACTGTCCTCTGGGCGGGGTTGCAGCCTGCTGGGTTGTGGACGATTCACTTGGTGAGCCTGAGGTAGGAGTTGCACTGGGCTCAGGTTCTGGTTCAGGCTCAGGTTCAGGCTCTGGTTGTGGAGTCTGTGAGGCTGGTTTCTGTGTTGTAGGCCCTGTAGAAGTGCTCTCGTATGGACCACTGTTTCCCCCATTCCCCATTTGTCTGCTCACAGGTGGATCCATCACAGGTGTCGAAACTATCGGACCCACGGTAGTTGCTGATCCATCTTCTTGTGATGGTTGTCTGTCTGTTGGAAGTCGAGGTGGAGAAACAACTACACTGATGCTTGCACTATCCACAGGAGAAACAGTTGATGGCAGAGCTGCTTGTGTAGTCATGTCTGGCTGCAACATTTGTGAAGGGCTTGCCTGTCCCGGAATAGTTCTGCTGCTCTCTCCTGACTGAATCCGTACATCAACAGTTGGAGTAGGTTTGACATCAGGCCTGTCACTCGACTGAATAGGCAGGACAGCAGGAGTTGGCTGAGGCTGCAACCGTGAAATAAGAAGCACCGCTGTCGAAGGAGTGGGTTGAAGAAGCCAATTTGTAGAGCTTAACGGCCCCTGAGATGCATCGATCTGACTTGGGGTGGGTTGAACTTTAACAACACTACTTGGCTCCAACTGCAGGGTTTTTGTAGGGGTTGGCGTGGGTTGACTGCTGACAGGCTGAACCCTCGTAACCATGGAAGATGACTGCACATTGCTGGGCATTAGTGTCACAGGGCTGCCTTCCACGGACACACTATCCTGGCTGGCAGACTGCCCACTGTCTGTGGATGAAGTAGAGGTGTCCCCGGAAGGCTGAGCATCATCTGTAACGGGTGGGATCGATGTCGGGATCACTGACTTGGTCCCTCCACGGCTAATTGTCGTGGATGAAATTGGCGTGGTCGATCCTCCGTATCTCCTGGTGATGGCATTAGATGGCTGATGAGCGGAATCTGCTGGCAGGATACGATTCGTTGTCTCTGGCCTTTGGCTGGTGCCCGTACCTCTGGATGCATTCTCTTGGGTCACAGTGGGCACATTTTCTCGGTTGGCCTCACAGACAACGACATGGCAAAAGATCACAAGAGCTAGACACAGGCACGAGGCTGTATGCCCTGTGTACATGATGAGCATTGGAATGGTTGTCTCCTACAGGATGTGCTGCTTGTCATCTGGACATCGCGATCTCAGTCTTCTATTGGAATGGCAGCTTGAGAGAATCCAGAAAGCCCTGCAGATGGGAACAAGAGACAAGGTCAAACATATGTTCAGTGGAAGAAAAATTACTCTAATGGCATCGAATAAAACTGAGGGACGGATCAGGGATTATTATAGGGAAGGGAGCATCATGATCAGTCACAAAATAGGAGAAACCAATTACAAGGGGGAGGGGAAAGAAAGACAGCAAGACTCCAGAAGATGCTGACAGAAGATAAATGCAGAATGTTAGTAAATGGTACATTTTCATACATTTATCTGATCCGATGGCATCTGGAATGCATCTCTCCCTGCAAATACTTTATTTCCCTCCATAACCATTAATACTTCATGTCCCTCACGTGCATATCTTGAATGGTATTTCTCACACCGTGAAATAAAGTGATTTTTAATGTGATTTCTAAAAAGCTACTTAGTATACACACGTTGGCTCCCTGCCTCACATATAACAGGCCCTCTCTTGCCACAATGAGATTGAACAGACATTTAATGGTGTCATGGTCATATGTAATTATCTGCCAGAAGTAACTAAGATACATGTACATCACAGTGTTACAATAAGTTACAATTTCACTAAATTTTGTACTTAAACTTCGGCTGGAAATCAGAAGACTACATGCATATTTTGCAAGATATTACAGGTAACAGAAGGCAATTTTCAAATATTTAAACCAATGACTGCTGACAAACTTGATACCAAGGATTGTGTGTCACCACGACTGTGTTATTAGATCCTACCCATCGGATGGCCTTGGGGACTCACAGAGGCACATAAGGGCTATAACATGAGGCTGACAAATGGTCACTTATACCCACAAACCAAATGGCCAGCGAAAATTGGAAAAAGCAAACACTCCCAGTGGCAACCCTCCATTCTAATGATATGGCATAACTAATTCACAGGAGTACTTTAACCAGTTTTATTAAGGTTGATTATGATTAGTCTGTGACTCTGTGTTCATTGTTTTTTCCTGAAGAAATGTGGAGTGAAATTGCATTTGGCAAAATACATGATGTACATAAGACACACATAACAGTTACGGTTAGTTAATAACCATGTTCTTTTGGACCTCAGTAATTAACCGAAATTCAAACAAATCAATCAAAAGGATCATGAGTTACAATGTATAGGTGCAAACATACAAACACACCCAAAACAGAACCTCCATCCACAGAGACCCTCCTTCATGGAGGCAATAAAGTGGCATTAAAGATTTCAACTATATGTTTACAACAAAGGCTGTACTACGTCTCTATGGCCAATAATACTTAGAATGTTACCACAAAATTAACACTGAACATCAGGAGCAATTCTGAATCAGTTTTCTTTTGAATCAGGTGTCTTCTTAAAGACATCTGGTTGCTCTGTTTAGTCTCTGCTCAAGGTTTTTAGTGTAGAAACTGTGGATCGATATAAGAGGTGATCAATCTATCCTTCCACACAAAGAGACTTTTCTTGGAATGATAGGCAATCTCCTGGGAGGAGTTAAGATATATGGAAAGCATTCACATATCGTTGACCTAAAAATGCAAGCAGCAAAACAGACCAACCCTGAAGAAATGACTGTCTTTTTCTGTCCTCATGGCTCTCATTATAGAACAGAAAATGGTAACCTAAGTGCAATAATTCTGCATCCAAGGCTAAACACATGAAATATCTGTAAATTGGTGAAAAATGTCCTGCACTTCTTAATATAATATCTGTTATTTCTCCTGATTGCTTTTATCATCATGACATCCATCTAATAGTAGTAAGTAGTATGCAAATTGCTTCCTTCATTTGGGCTGAAGAAACATACCGGGTACCTAATTCTTTGGTTTTCTTCAGGGAAGAGTTGTGATGTTTGGATGAATATTTGGATGGCATAGCTCCTACAGCTTTGTACATGCAGTACAAATCTTCACATATATTTTACATTTTGTACTGACAGTACGTATACTGATTTCATATTTCTGAAGCCAGCTCCAACCTTAGCTTGTCCTCCAATTGATGCCATTCGCTACAGTCTAATTACTCTAACCCCAAGTAAAACTGTTATTACCTTCGCCAAGAAGGTTATGTTTTCAGGGGCGTTCGTGTATGTGTGTGTGTGTGTGTGTGTCTGTCTGTCTGTCTGTCTGTCTGTAAACACGATAACTTGAGAAGGCCTTGATGGATTGTCTTGATACTTGGTAGGTGGGTAGGTCTTGATGAGACCTCAAAATGATTAGATTTTGGGCCCCCTAGCGGCTTGTTATGGTACTGCAGCTGAACTTCCGGTTTTGATATCTCATGATCTAGACATGCTAGAGTGACGAAATTTGGATGGTAGGTAGCTCTTGTGCTGGGGAAGAAGTGACGTGAGTTTGGGCCCCCTAGCGGCTTGCTCTAGAACTGCAGGGATATATTCTTGAAAATATTCAAAAGGGGATAACTCAAGAACCGATTGACGGATCGTCGTGATTTTTGGTATGTAGGTAGCTTACGCGATGTTTAATATAATTATGTGACAATTATGCAAATATGGATGTAATTTGCATAATTTATGGGGAAATTCTATAAATCAGCTGCATTCCATGATAGGACAATTGAAGCTTGTGACATTGGTAATTGACAATGAGAGAAACACAGGAAGATATTGATTATGTTAATAATGACTTAATTTGCATAATTAATGAGAAAATTTTATAATTATGTAATGATAACTGCCTGGAATTTCATACTTGTGGTATTTGAAAGTTTAGTTGACGTGAACATCATTAAACATAATTTATTCAAATCAGGACCTCATTTGCATAATTTATTAGGAAATGCTAGAATGCATTGTTTGTTAATATATATAAGACTGTCTTTTGGTTGAGATTATGATAAAATGATATAATTCATGAAAATTAGGTTCCTATTTCTTAAATCAGGGGGGAATAATCTAATCTATAATTTGTCAGTCATAATGTTTAACATCATTTGGCGAAGGTATGAGATCGGGGAACTCTAGTTATACATCAATCAATTACTGGCTAATTCTGTCAAAGTAAATTCTAATCAGAGGCCAACGGTATTGCAAGGGGAAGATCTACAAGGCTGAAGAATCATCTGAAGATGGTCATTTATCATCCATATGCATTCAGCGGGGATCTTATAGCTTGTCAGTGACAAATCATAGGATCTGCTGAGGATTACCCTAGGAGACAATACGCCTACAAGAGTATACCTAGTAATGTTACCTGAGTGAGACAAATGTATTACTATTATCATGCTTTTACTTTTGGAGCACTGATAGAAGCTCCTGCACACTGACCTCATCTAAAATAAAAATTGGAAGTTTAATTCCCTGAGCTACTAAAACTAGTTAAGTGTTCAATCTCTGGACATTTGATTTGGCCTCATTTGTTACAGTTCACCTGGTAGCAAGTGGGTACCAGACAGTCCCATCTGCAGGTTAACCTTCCCCCTGCTGCCTATCCCCATAACCATGCCGATTTGGTGCCAAACAGCTACCTTAGCAGGCTGAAGGTTAATTTGTGGACCAGCACACCACCAAGATGTAGACATGAGCAGGTGCTGCTAGAATAACAGGGATTTATTCTAGTCCAATGGGCATAGCAGGGTCATACCATTTTGGCCCTAGAAAAATAAGATGATTTTATCCTTTAAACATGATATATGAGTGAACACTTGTCTCCTCTCTAGGTAATGCACAAGAAAGAGATCTCTAGATACTCAGGCCCAACGGGCCTAGCAGGTTTAGACATTTGGCCTTAGAATAATGAATCCATGAATCATGTACCAGGAAGATGTCAGACCTGAGACAAAACTACCAGTATGAACATGACTTTAGAAGCAAGAAATTCAACGTAGAATTGAAGAAAGTTCAAGAAACATATTCCTGGATTGTTCTAAAGGTAATTGCTATTCAAAAGTACAGATGTAACTTCCTCTCAGGTAGCTTTTTCTTATTACAATTGCCAAGAACATTCCAAGGTTTGCACAAATCATTTTCATGGCCATGTTGGTAATCAATCTGTGAGCTCCATGCCACAAGATCTATTACTTTTTATCGTTTCCTGCTTTTGTACCAAAAAAATGGGCTTTCACATTTAACTTGATATATGAGGAGCACAAAATTAATTTCCACCCTTGACATTTATGGATGAATAGCAAAGTAGATCTAGGTCATGGAATGACATGGTGCACAAAGGTTAAAACAATATATTAGCTACACAGAAGCATGCATACAGTAGGCTAACTGGGTAACTGTGTCAATCTGTCCATTATCATTAATAACACTTTGAATACGCCAATACACTTGATTGGGGAAGCTCAGGTGCATGTAAAAAGCTATTCTCCTACCTTTACTCTTGCCATATCATCTATCAAAGCATTTTCAATATTACCATAAGGCCACACCAATTTAATTTCTTGGTTAACGGATTTTTATAGAAAAATAATGGAGCGGGCGGGCGAAAAAAAAATAAAAATAAAAACAGGCCTAGGCATCCTATTATGGCCCAAAATGGTACGATAGGAGCCATGAAGGCAACACACCAGGCTGGTTCAAAATTTAAACATGAATTTTGAACTTTTAATGATACCAATGCATTGAAAGATGGAATAACTGTAACAAGTAGGTTGAAAAGGACTGTTTTCAATTGTTCAGGGCAAAATATGAGCATTTTGTAGTTGATTCTGGATTTTTATTTTTATTTGCAAATCAGAAAAAAATGAAGCGGCGAATCCGTTAACCAAGAAATTAAATTGGTGTGGCCTAAGTGACATTAAATACTACATGTGTAATATTTAAGATACCCAAGTAACATTTTGTGGGTCACATAGCAGTAGCAGAATTTAAAACATCTAAAAAGCTTCTTACATGCTCTAATGACATATATCCCTCAGGGTATCCATTGACTTTGAACTAGCAACTTGTACACCAAGATCATAACCATTCTTTTTATCTATGATGGTATATTATACATTGATTCCTGAGTACATAACAGTTTATAATTGAGACATACGTTCCTGTACAATCATTTTTCCTTCTAGATCCGAAAAGGTAGTAATACCCATACTTCAATTGTGACCTAAAAACTCTTGCATTACCTCAACTCAACAGACCTTAACTTAAGATTGATGTTCAAAAGATGGCCATTTCACTAATCTGGGAGTTAAGGAATGGGGTAAGTATCTGAATTCATGTTGTATGTGCCTGTGAATACGTAGCATCAAACTTGACCCACCAAAAATTAAGTCCATAGGGGTACCGGCACATTCCTGTTAAAGCACAAGAATGTATCACTGAGGCATGATCTGTAAGCTTTGGGCTGCCTTTACGCAAGAAGAAAATTGGTCTTCAATAACACGTTAGGAAGCGTGATATTTTGGCACATAACAATCCTTACGGCTGGGTGTGCATGTATTAAGGACCTCTGCTCATGACGTTGAAAGATTATGAGTGGTGGAAGTGGATAGAGGTTATTACAAAATCCGGTTAGTGTTTCATAACTGTTGGTACCAGTGCTTTGATAGAGGCCCAGTTTGGGTCATTCTGAAAAGCTGCAACTTCTTAGATTTTGATGCTTCGTAGAAAAGACATTTACAGTAGGTTATATTTGAGTTTGATAAATCTGGATGGGCATCTTGCCTCCCTTATAACACATACAGTCAAACCTGTACAAGTGACCACCTGTGCATAAGGACCACCTGGTCCCTTTGATAATTTTGCCCACTGACATATATTGACCACCTGTCAGGCTGGCCATATAGACTAGATTTTATCAGTCCCCTGAGTGGTTTTCATGGGTAGTTTTGATTGTGGTGTATACGATACTGCCCCCTTCCTAAATACTTCTAGCAGCAAAGTCTTGGTGTAACAGGATGAAGCATGAATGACAAGTTGCCCATTGGATCTACCTGGGGTTATGAAAAGAGGACACACCTATCCGTCTCTCATCAAGCAGATGTCAGAGGGATGACAGCAAGCCAGACCATCAAAGCCGCTCACTGATATCCTGCTGGTGCCACGCTGTCTGATTTTGATTTCTGAAGGTCTAACAAGCTACGTTGATCAAAAATACTTTCCTCGATACATTATGGAGACACAAATTTCCCTCCTGTATTTCTTCAGGCTTTTCGAAATGTACCCAAGGCTGCCTTTTGATTGATTGGAATTACAATCATAGTAAAAAATATCCCTAGCCTAGGCGACAATTCTCAGTGAAGTTGTATATTTTGCAAATACATATGATCAACAATACGACAATCTAAACGGATGAACAAAGTCATCTTTCATTTACAACATGTTTCTGAAACATCAATTTACCTTAATACAAAAACAAGCCACTAGGGGACCCACACCCATGTCACCCAAGCATGTCCAGATCACGAGATATCAAAACTGGCAGTTCTGCTGCAGTACCTAGAAAAGATGCCAGGGGACCCAAAATCTAATCATTTCTAGCTCTCATGAAGACCTACCCACCTACCAAGTCTCATGACAATGCATATTAAGCTTCTTGAGTTATGCTGTTCACAGACAGACAGACAGACAAACGCTACTGAAAACATAACCTTCTTGGGTTATGCTGTTCACAGACAAACAGACAAATGCTACTGAAAACATAACCTTCTTGGGTTATGCTGTTCACAGACAAACAGACAAACGCTACTGAAAACATAACCTTCTTGGGTTATGCTGTTCACAGACAAACAGACAAACGCTACTGAAAACATAACCTTCTTGGTGAAGGTAATAACAAAATATACTAAGTAGTACTATTAAAATTTAAAGTACTTTCTTGGCAACCAAAGAAGTGGGGGGGGGGGAGGGGAGAGAGAGTTAAGACTGCCTGCTACATGTATGTATGGCGATGTTGGTGCATGCGCACATGTCTGTAAAAGTCACGAGAATTCACGTAATTACAATTATAATTCTCTTGAATGTTTGAATAGATTTGTTTGATGTTTCCGCCTACCAGCCCAGATTAATTCTTTTTCCACGAAAATGAGTCTGGCTCTTGCAGAAAAAACAAAATGCCATCGCATCACCTCATGCGACGTCATTCTTCCAAATAAAAGCAAATGTGGCCTTACTTCAACAGATCAATAAAGGTATTAGATGCCATATTCATGAATTTTTGCAGTTATACACTGTGCAACAATACAGTCTGCACAGTACGGTCAGAAGGTACGAGCAGGCAGAGCCTGTCCGGTCGCCTTTCTCCGGCCCCGGCAGTCACCAAACCACCGCCCCAACCCCTTTCTAACTACGAGGCAAGGAACCTCTCTAGACATGTATGAAGAAGCTGAGAGAGTGTACTACACAATAAAGGATGAAGATCTCCCCCAGTCTTTACAGGCGGCGAGGCGGCAGCAGGAGTCACCCCAGGCAGGAGTTGAAACCAGCGGGCCACCCCTCCAACCCCGTCCCGTCCCTCAGAGTGGTTCACGTGGGCGTGCCTGCCATGGCAACGGCGCTTCTGACAAGCAGCGGGAAGACCAGGACATGTCTTCACACACTTATGAAGGCGACGAGGCGGTGAAACGTCACGCAACGTCTGCAGGTATTAAACCGACGCTTTTCACACCTGCATGCATTTTACAGTAGATATTTGTACTATAAGAAGAAAATATTCCTCTAGAGAAGGTATATGATAACTTACAGACTATTGCATGGTTTGCTGTATGGGTAAATTTGATTATAAAATCCCTCCACTGTTTAGCCTGGTTACCAAACCTATTATAGCTCCCGAGTCCTACATCCTCTCCGCTATTTGCGGAGAGGATGTAGGACTCGGGAGCTATAATAGGTTTGGTAACCAGGCTACCACTGTTTACTGTACGCCCAAAATGTAAAATCCATCAGCAGGGTACGCGAACATTCTCGCACCGGTGAGAATTCAATGTAATAGAAATCACAGCTTCGTCAAAGGTACAAATTTCCTGCAACAACTGGCCTCAGGCCTAGGAAAAATCAGTGTTTCTGACATCAGTTGTGAAAAATAAGATCGTTAGGTAGGAACTAGGGCCTCATTTGCACAATTAATACGAAAATGCTGTTGTTCCTTGGTGGTGCATTATGGGAATTTCATACTTATGGATATGCATAAATTTGTAAAAACTAAGCATCACTAGCGGCATGAATTACATAAATTTTGGAGGTCATTGATTAAGGATGAAATGTTAAATGCCTGACCTCCGACTCGTTTGTTAATGTAGCGTTTAAGTTCTATATTTATTCATTAACATGCTGAGTTCTTAAAACCCTTGTCCTGCAGGACCCATATATATATGACTTGGACATACAGTACCATCTGGGGTATATTTTACATACAGTACCATCTAGGGTATGTACCATTTGGGGGTGTTTCTCGTGCAACGCATCACACCGCAGCGAAACGCAATGAATGCGGTAACTACGCCACCGCAGGGCAAAAAAAGTCAGTGGTCTGTGACCTGATTACGACTTCAAATTACTTGAAAATATTGTGTAAAAAAGTCCAGCAGAACAAGGGTTAAGTTGACGTGAGCGATAACCTCAGGTATGTTTTTCCTGCCAGACACCACGTATCCGGGTGGAGCGAGCAGCCGCCGTGGTGTCTGTAGCTTCCTCCGCGCCCGCCGCAGCTTCCTGGTCGCCGGCATTGCGGTGCTCCTGAGCCTAGGTGTCATTGGACTTGCACCTCTGACGTTCAGCAACAAACAGGTAACAGTGTTGTACCATAAAGCCTGTTGTCTTGCTATAACTTTCATTCTCATCTTAATCTGTTTTTAAGAGGGTACAAAAAAATTGCTGCTGTTTTTCATACGTTTGTTTGTTACGTTCCGTATTCTGATGTGTGTATACATGTTTGTAGGAAATATCTCAATTGTCGACTACTGTTGACGCCTTGAAAGTCAACCAAGACAACATGCGTCAACTGTCTGCTACTGTTGACGCTTTGAAGCGCGACCAAGATGCCTTGAAGCGCGACCAAGACGCCTTGAAGCGTGACCAAGATGAGGTAACACGCGACCAAGACGAGGTAAAATGCGACCAAAATGACATCCGTCAACTGTCCGCTACTGTTGACATCTTGAAGCGCGACCAAGATGCCTTGAAGCGCGACCAAGACGCCTTGAAGCGCGACCAAGATGAGGTAAAACGCGACCAAGACGAGGTAAAATGCGACCAAGATGACATCCGTCAACTGTCCGCTACTGTTGACGTCTTGAAGCGCGACCAAGACGCCTTGAAGCGCGACCAAGACGCCATGAAACGCGACCAAGACGACGTAAAAGGGGACCAAGATGACATGCGTCAACTGCTTACCACTGTTGACGCCTTGAAACGTGATCAAGATGCCTTGAAACGCAACCAAGATGCCTTGAAGCGTGACCAAGACAACATGAAACGCAACCGAGACGACGTAAAAGGGGACCAAGATGACATGCGTCAACTGTCCACCACTGTTGACGCCTTGAAACGTGATCAAGATGCCTTGAAACGCAACCAAGATGCCTTGAAGTGTGACCAAGACGACATGCGCAGATTATCCACCACAGTTGAAGCCTTGAAGTGCGTCCTGTACAAAGAGCGCAAACAGACCGCCACCCTGGAGAAGCGTCTTCACGAGATCAAGCAGACTTTACGTAAATTAGTTTTCTTAATAGATTTGGGATTTATTGTTGATGAAGCATCTATATTGCATGTACTTGTTTGTCATGATTTTCAACATGAACCATCCTATGCCTGTTGCTGAATCAGATACAAAACGTGTTTTCCAGCATCTTGTCCCGAAGGTTACACAATGTGGCGTGGAACCTGCTTCAAGGCCTTCGACACATCCAAGACCTTCAGTGGAGCGGCGAATGCCTGTGGTGCAGACGGCGGCACCCTTGCCATGCCCCAAGACGCTGAGACCAACACCTTCCTGGCCTCTCTGTCCAAGTCTGTGAGCCACATTCGTGCCTTTTGGTTCGGTCTGCACGATCGGCGCGAAGAGGGGAGGTTTCAGTGGATGGACGGTTCTGCACTTGGGTCGTATAGATCCTGGGCTCCGGGACAACCGGACAGCCATGACGGCAACGAAGATTGCGTCCTTTACCCTACAAGCCAGAAAGACAAGTGGCACGATAGGAACTGCCACCAAAGGGCTTACTTCATATGCCAGGCCGCTCCAGGTACTTGTTGTATCCTCACTATTTTCAGAAACCCCTTCATCTAGTAAACATGGCACCATCATGATCAGGACAAGGTGGCAGACCATCATTGCGCCTGTCACAAACCATGTCTGAACTATATAAACCATTCCATAGCTCATCTTTGATAAGTCTCTTTTTTTTTTTCCAGAACGTCCATAGGCGACAGGCAGGACCCTCACCACTACTGCTCTCTGACCATCCGCAGTCAAGCTAACCAGTAAGAATTAAGACTGGGACTTATAGCATTGGGTTAGATCAGCATTTTTTCAAATGTTCCCTGGAGTTTAATCTTGCTTGTGCCTCCACTTCGAACTTTTTTGGGCAGTACACATTTTACGACTACTACAGAAGCAAATCACCCTTTCTTTCTGCATACTCCAGCTCTCAGGAGGAAGTTCCACACTGAAAGGTTCTTTCTAGAACTACATCACTACGGAACAAACTTCTCTGTGAATGTGTCCCAAATGGGTATAACCTAAATCAAGGACATTATACTACAGTACTATAATGTCCTTGCCTAAATTAATTTTTTTAAGTCTAAGGTAAACAAACCTCTTTTTGTAATCCAAAAAAACATATGAGTGGTTTGCATGAGCCTTGTTCTTTTAGGTGAAAATTGTAGTAAAATAGAAAAGAATCCACAGGAGAAATACTGAATGGGATGTAATGAAGCAGTACTGTACTATATTGTAGTCATGCTTCAGTCTCCATACGGATAGAATTTACATTTTACCTTTCATGTCTATCATTACATGATTGACAAAAATCTAGTGTTGTCGTACTAATTGTCAATAATTCTGCTATTTAATTTATGAAACATAATGGTCAAAGTATTAGAAGTAAGATAATCTCTTATTGTGTATACAGAAAAAAAAATGCTGTCTTGTTCCTGGTTTAATAATCTGAAAAACTGGTCAAGCAACCAACCAACCTACAAACATTATTGATTGCATATATGCATGACTCCACATGGTGCAATGAGAAATTTCCCGCTCAGTGGGTTGTAAAATCTGATCTAACAATGCTGGATGGAAACATGTTGGAATTTAGGTTATCTGTCACAATCAGTTTACATTTGCCCCCTTTTAGACCCTGGCCTGTCAGTGGTGGGGATATATTAATATTTTACCAGCAGGGAGAATTTTGCTGCATGTTTTTATTTTGTATCTACCCTTCTTGGCCTTTTCTATCAAATCAAATCTGTGAGGTCAGGTTGGTACATGTACTAATATGATCAGGTTATATTGAGTGGAATGGGTCAAACTAAAAGCAAAATGGGGAGAGTTTGGTAAAATCATTCTCTATCAGGCAGGTACACCATTCAGAACTGCAGGTACTGTACAATGTACTTAGGAATGAAAAAGGAATATAAGATGAGTAAGAAAATCTGCTTACTGACTTAAATTGTGCACCTTCATTTCACTGATGGATCTACACAAAGAGATATCTTTTATCAACACACAGAGATACAACATACAAATTTAATCATATCTTTTTTAACATCACAAAGAAGTACCTGTATAAAAACAACACATTAAGAGATACCAGCTGTATTTTTAAACAATACACAATAGATGCCTGTATTTTCTGTCAAACATCAAAGTGAGCAATTTGAAGAGACAACGAACTAGAAATAATAGGTGTCAAGCACGTTTGGCCAGAACATAACGCATGGCAACAAAACATAGCACAAAAAAAAAAGAAGTAGCAACAATATAAACCTACAAGAATATTACACTCCAGGCTTTGACTATTACATGCACTACAATGAAATACATCGACATGTGCGAAGCCATACAATAATTCATGACTTCTGGTATTACCTTGAAAAGGGCATTAAGGTCATTTTGAAGGCAGCTCCATTGTGCTTATCTAATTTTCCTTTCACACCAGTGCAAAACAGTCCGGTTCACCGCTGCGTGATCGATAATTTTACGTCTGGAGCAATATTCAGACGACCACAAGGGAACGCACGATAGCCAAATCAACACGGGACGGCCTCTCTTACAATTTATTCTATTCCCACCTACAATTTAGACGTTCATTTCCCTACAGGAGCGTTCATTCATCAAATCAGCTGCACATTGTGTCTATTACAGCAGCACAGGAGAAGATTTACAATGCAGGAGGTGCCTCAGTTATGGAGCCATCGATTTTCTGAATGGTGCCACCTCAAAATGCCTTTTTACCCCAACTCAATTTGTAAACCGATTGACAGCAACTGATACTAAGAATATCTTTCATTACAAAGAAAGAAATACTTATTTAAGGTGCAGATTTTATAAATAATTTTCGCGTCAAATTTTGTTTCTTTTGTTCATGGACTTATCATGATTAAATCATGAAGGCTACTAGACAATCATAGCCTTGTATTGTCACTAAATGACACTGATACATGTTATGTTATTGGATACAATAAAATGTTGTAACTGTTACAGCACTTTTTTGTTTAAAATCTTGCCAGGCATCTCTATTTTGCCTGTTTCTTGGCAAAGAGCCTCGCCAAAGCAATGTCACAGCCGAATACATATAATCTAAAGGTAGATGAATAAATAAAGACCAGTGATTCCAGTTTATAGCCGGAAGGGGACACTCAGCCTTATGCTGTTGCTGTATCCTATCAACTGGAAATCTAGACTATCTCCACATAAAGATTTTTCTACCATTTGCCAAAGGTTGATGAGCAAAATATAGATGTACAAAATGAAATACCATAATCTCCAAGCAGATGATTGGAGGCAAAATTGTGTCATTTTTCCATTGCTGTTACATAGTTTGATGGAAGGCAGTTTGTGTCAGAAACGGGCAGCTATGAAAACATTAACCTCTCCTTAGAGATCACAGGTACCCTTTTCCAAGCTATAGCTATTTATTCAGCACCGTGCACTTTCCTTTTGCCTTTCATTCTGGCTTCCTGTCAAAAACTGTATGGGTGAGTTTTCTTCTAGGTCAGAGGCTATACCCATTATCCTCCTCCTGTCATATTTTTCTGGTCGGATCATCTCACTTCTGTCTGTCTGGACAAAAAGGCCAGCTCACCTGCCAACTGTGTACACAACACACCTGACGGATTATCCTCTGATGTCTCAACATCGGGAGGGAAGTGACACATAAAGCCAAATATGGGAGTGTATATGAAGTGTATGTAGACAAACATGGAATATCCTGTATATGATAAGCTGTCACAGTGACACATTTCCATCCCAACCGCAGAGAAGTCTGTGCTTTTGTAGCTTTCTCTACCACCTGAAATGCTTAGACTAAAATACATGATTATGTTACACAACATAATCACACCCATAATACCTTATCATACGCATGAGAAATTCTAAGGATTTTAACTGTTAAAACCTATAAAAATTCTTCATTTGACAAATGCAGGCTGTGGAACATAGTAACGTTAAATATTTAACGTAACATTTAACGTTAAATATATTCTTGTATTGAATTGTTTGCAAATTATTTTCAAAAGTTGATTCTGATGTGCATTTTTCTTTTACATATCAGAAATGTTGTAATGCACTTGTAACTTAATATTTTTAAGCTGTACTTATCTGACCTTGACTGGCTTGAAGACTACTTCTGGGACCTGCAAAATTTTTTCTGTCACAGAAATGCAGACATTTTTTCTACAGGTCCTTCAGGATGTTATACCTTTGAGGGAGGTACTGTAGTATATGCATAGCCAGGATTCAAGCATGCAGACAAAGTCGTCCAACTATGCCAGCCTGCTAAATGAACAACAGGTACAAACGGGCTGAGTGCCAGGGGCCCGCTTACATGGGGAACTCACCATTTTCTAATCAATGGCGGACCCAGACAGTGTGGCATTTGATACCCGTTGAGTACATATCGATTCCCAAAAGCAACATTACAACAATAGCCTGTGTGGCATTAATACTGATAAAAAGATTGGATCCCTATAATACCAGGTAACAGTGTGTGATCTAATACAATGTCAAATCCTGGTGCACAAATCTATGTTCAGCAATAAAATAAGTATTCTAATTTGACCAGTGGACACTAATGAGTCTTCATGATAAACGGTGCACACCCCAGTTCTTGCGCGACCGGGGTCCGCGATAGTCCGTTGTAAAAAAGTGACGAAAGGGTTTTGAGGGTCCAAGTTTGAGGTGACATTTCTTATAAACTGCCACGAAGTATCATTAAACATTAACATGGCTGAAGAGTGTAAGAAATGGTGATTTTGGGGTGAAAATTTCTTTGGCTCCGAACCTTACTTCCGGGTATCCTTGCGCGCCAAGTGTAATCCGCCCGTTTGACCTAGTTTTCGCTCTGCGGCTTCGTAGGGGTGGATTTGCAACCCCTCGCGCCGTGGACTGTTTAGAAAATTACAGTACTAGAATTTTCTTTATAATTTACTCGGGTATAGTCAAGGCTTGGGTCTTTCTGCCAGCATCAGTCATTTCTGCCGGAAAGTTTTTTTTTGTGGGATTATCCTACGCAAAATTTCGCAATTTTGGGCATTAATTTTGGAGTGAAAATAATGTTTTTTCCGTTGATTTTACCAAACTTAAAAAGGTTGAAGAAACCAAACTCTTGTAGCTGAAGAGATATCCTTTCGTCCCATATACAGTTATTCTCTTTCCAAATTATTCCACGCCAGAGACGGTCGCTAGATTTGAGGGTGTGCAGCTTCGAATAGAGGCCCCAAATAAACTGGGGTGTGCCCCCTAAAAGGGTAGAACCATCTATAGGCATAGTTCCTCAAGAATAGCGCAAATTATCCTTATCTAATAAGTGTAATTCCTACCTCAATGCAGGAACAGTTTGATTGTAAGCAATAATGACTGTCTGTCTCAGTCACTCAGTTTGAACATGTAACGCTACATGTGTATTATACCAGCTTGTACATACATGTATGTGTACTTCTTTTCAGCACATAAACTACAGTAGTTTTCAGACAGAGCTCTACCTAGCTATCACTATAGTATCAGCTACTGTGGTTTGCTACCCCAGGTTAAATACCAGTGTCTCACCTGGTCACAGCATTCCTAATTCCCTAAGTTGTGTCCTTCCATACCCCATACAGGATTAAAACTCAAGTTGTTCCCCTTGAAAAGACAAATCCCAACAGCACTTTAAACTGTACAGGTGCTCTCAAGGTGAGAGTGTTATTTGTGCAGTAATTGGAGCCAACGAGAAGTAGGCAAGTAGCATTCCTGCTGCAAACGTTGCCTGGAATTCTATCTAGAGGGGGAACTATGTCCTTTGTCCCATGATTTTGCACAAGCAGGTGCATACATGTGTGTGCACCCGATACTTTTGGGATAACAAGTGATGCAACCAGCCACACAACGACTAGAATGGGGCAGAAAAATAACACATAAGGTTTGATACAGAAATAATGTTTTAAAAACAAGTCTGTATGTTGACATGTTTGTATTGCTCTCTGTTTACCTGTCCAGTCATTGAATGGTCTTGATGTAGGCATAGAAAGCAGTATTCAGGCTTTTGAACCAGCAGTGTTTATGTGGCATCTGATTTTGTTTTTCTAAATATGACCCTGAATTATCAACTGCCAATCAACAGACAAAAATCATTAATCAATGTCATTGTGTGGTTATAATGACATTTGGTTATAATGCACATTATTTGCGATACCTGTAACAGTTCAAAAAAGGTGTGAATTGCCATGTCAAGATCTTGCATTCGTTTGTTTTGGTTTGTTGGAAAACAAAGGAATAGTAGACAAGCCATTTAAACTGATTTGTGGTACTTCTTCTCACAGGACAATTCACAATGTTTTGGTCAGAATGACTGGTAGGCACGCTAGCCAATACAAACACCATGTCTGTGCTTACACTTGTCTAGTCAGGTCTTCTTGGTTCACTCATCGTTTTGATAAAATGAACTGTCTAGTCAGGTAGTCTTTTTTACCCCATCGTGGAAAGTGGCCTTCATATAATAGCCTTCATTACCATATTTCTCTCCAGCATCCAGAATAATTGATAGCTCAGGTACCGGTAAATGGAACATCCCTCCCCGAATACTTAGCCTCCGTGTCTCCAGGCTATGCTTTGATATTGGCACATTTTTATTTGCTAGCAGGCAGCGAATGTGAAACGTGGCCATCGGAACAAACCAGCAATAAAAAATCAGCATGTGGTGGTAGCGAGTACTAATAAATGCCACTATCAATAACCAAGTAAGAAGAACATGATATAAAGGCACAACAAAATACAGAATACAACATGATTTACATCTAAAGGGAAAGCCTGTTATGGAGAGTACAAAATGTATTGGACTCAGTGGGCTCCTTATCTCACAGATATCTTGAACCAAGGGTACCAGGGGCAATTTAAATCAAGCCAAGTACTAGTCAGGTATTAGTATCCATTCATATAATCTAGCTACCTGGTCCTATCAAACTTTCAAAGAACCTATGGCAAATACTTATTTTCAAATGAGTACTGGATAAACTTAAAAGGTACTATTAAGGACAGGAAACAAGGTTGGAATATACACTGTACATATCATAGAGCAGGCTTGGCAAACATAGTACGTCTCACTCACCTTTGAACTTTACAGTGACTGTGTTATCTTGAAGATCTTGGTCAATCAATCATGGAAAAGCAAAACAAACATACTAAAGTACCAGGTTGACTCTTATGATCGTCTGCACAGCAAGCTTTAGGGTACCTGTCTGAGCAGGATCCAGAGAAGACGACACACTGACTGTAATGGGCTTGTAGTCAGTCACTGTGTTGGACCAACAAACGTCCAAGATGTTTATATTGGCAGGTTTCTTACGAACATCCTGTACTTTTCCGCTACCGTTGATAAGAAAATACCTTACATTATCAGGATAAATGGTGAGCCCATGTCATCTTATATTGCTTGACTCATTCTCGTTATATAAGTTATACATATATATCAGTCAGATATTCGTGGGCCAGACTAAACAACAATCAGTGGCGACGTAGTGTACACAGGAAGTACATGACGGCAACTCATCACCAATTTCAAGTGTTTACCGCCTATGATGTCGATCATAACGTCACTGCAGGTTTTTCTTTCCTTTCTGTTGAAGTCATCTCCTGTGCTGGGCGTAAAACAATAACAGGAAGCTGTCTACATCAGTGAACGTTAACTGGTAACTAAAAATGTCATTAACATTTCCTGTGCAAGCCTTCTGAAAAACGTGGTAGTGAAAGAAACGATATAACCTCACACAGTGAATGATTAAAGCAATTTCTTACAAGCAGTCTTTGGAAGAATGCTAACAGCTGTAGCATAACAGTCTGTAAGTCTGTAGTGTAGGTAACATACTATTATGCTGACCTCCCAGCCAAGTTTGTGCAACCGTCTGAAATACCAACTGGCCCAGGAGATTTGGTCCCTCATTATCCGTGTAAACATTTTCATCTGACCTGACAGAGGATGCCCTTGGCACTACTCTACCTTACATCTTTATTATACCCAGCTGTAACACTGCTCCTGGCGACTGTGGGCCACCATATTTCTTGTTTTACTGCCCAACCCTGTGGCTAATCTATATTCATAAAAGCTGTGTCTGTGAGGTACTCTCCAAGCAGAGGTTTGGGTTTTGGGGGTATTTTTAGCGTGTTTTTAGGCTTTTTTATCGGGGTTTCTCATTTGCACTGAATTTTTTTTCCCACCAAATTTTTTTTTGGTGGGAAAAAAAATTCAGTGCAAAAGAGAAACCCAGATAAAAAGCCTAAAAACACGCTAAAAATACCCCAAAACCCAAACCTCTGCTTGGAGAGTATCTGTGAGGGAAGCTTGCTGGAATAAGCTGGGAGCAGTTGTAGGATCTGGCTCAGAACCTGTGACTATAGTATGAGGGGGTGTGTACAGCATTCTAAAGGAAATCCGCTGCTGTGATTCTTCCTGTGGCATTAACGTACGTTACTAGGAAGATTTCAGCATGTCAGTTGAAGAAAGGAAATGCCACATAATGTTATCTTGGTCAACCAGTGATACAGGAAATTGTAATTAGAAAAGATAAAATCAGGAGAATCATTACCTAACAACATACACTGCCTAAAACTGAATATTAGTACAGTAGTTACTATTGTATTTTAACACAGAATAAAGATGTTGGAATAAATTTTAATTCATTACAAAGCCAACTTGCAAACATATTGTTGTGATATGGTGGGTTGACCCCCCATAGTTATATCCCAAAGAGGCAGGGGACCTTCGGGAAAGCGGTCTACTCTGGGTGACGGTGTCTCATTGTTCATGTAACGTTATATCGTTACTGACAAACTTGACATTATCCTCGAGACCTTGACCCTTAACGTGGGTTGCCTACCCTTAGGATAAGGATGTTGCTGAATTCTCTTGCGATCTGCGTGGAACAACAAGGGCCTTCTGTTTCTAACCATCCTACGTTTGTATCTGGGAAAGCTGGACATGTTTTCGCCATTCAATAAAACATCCATAAAGAAGATTGAATGTAGGAATAATATCGATCGTGAAAAATACCCCCCCCCCATCCTTGTGTACGTATTTCTTACCATTTCAAACAACAGTGTAACGTTACAAATAACAATACTTTCAGTATCACTGCGTATATCTGATCCAGTACGTGTTACTTGTAGCTGGAAAGCTTGAGATAAACAGTGATTTAATTGGAGGGACAGGTTAAATACGTTATCAGTACACAGACGGTTTCGCAAACAAAGGCGCTGGTCGTGAGAAAACACAGTCGCGCGCTGGCTGAGAGAGCGTTCGGAAAATTATGCACAACAACACATCGGAAATCATTCAAACCTCACGGCACAGAAATATTCCCTGCAACAGATTAGAGCTCGGTGGGGGAAGATGTAAGTATCAGAAGCCTTACCGGGAAGACCTGGAGGAGGAAAACATTGCAGGGTGGTCCGTTGTTGTGGTGTGAAAGCATCGTCTGCAGCCGCTATACAAGCCAGCACCCTGCCGAGCTGTGTGACATCACCCGGCTCACGTTCATCCGGCGGGGGCGGGAATCGCGACTTTGGGGGGTTTCAGCATTCATCTAAAATTTATTACTTACTGATCTGGTACAAATAAAGCATGCGTAATTACCAGCATTTAAAGTAAATAGTTTTATATTTGTAATATATAATGTCGTATTCAATATTGTCTTTGATTTCTGTAAATCTGACGTAAATATACCCTACGATTTAATATGTATCCCCTATTAGAACGGAAGAGATGGACTCGTCCCACCCACCTGGAGCGGTCGGGAGACCACTTCCGGTTGTCATCAGGGGAAACAAACTGCCGACTGCTTTATGAATGAGACAAAAGAACAAATTCCTGCTACATGCTAATCTCCAAGCAGATCATACGGTGGCAAGGCAGTATCCATTGGCCAGAGGAGTGTCCATTAGCCTTCGGTGGCTAATGGACACTCCTCTGGCCAATGGATACTGCCTTGCCACCGTATGATCTGCTTGGAGATTACTACATGCCAAAGTATTGAGAGTACAATTCCCTGTATAGATAGATACTAGTACTAGTAGCTTTGGGGCGTAGAAAATCGGTTCGAGTAATTTCCTCCTGTCCTATTCATTTCCCCCTAGGTGCTATAACACCTGATCTCTCCAGGACTGAAGGAGTAAAACCGAAGACAACAGAACGAGGAAATACGTGTAGATTCAGGGCTGATGTCGAAGCCTTTATGTTGTTTGCAATGCTTCATTTGTTACATTTTCAACAATGGATCATCCTGATAACACCTGCAAAAAATACCATATTTCATACAGCATCATATCTAGTCCAAAGTGGTCCTTCGCAATATCCTAGGTTTTTGTGAATAAAAACATAAACATTGTAGGTAATGTAACATCGTAAATTCGTAATAGATGTCGGAAGAGGAAAATCGTTAGCCTCTACCAGGCACCGCGGATCGCTGGAAAAATAGTAGAAATGGGCCATAGAAGCTCCAATTTGCGACCCGTGGGTCGCAAATTGGAGCTTCTATGGCCCTGGATCTTCTCTGGTATACTATCCCTTTATTTCGGCCCATTTCTACTATTTTTCCAGCGATCCGCGGTGCCTGGTAGAGGCTAGAAAATCGTTACCCGCAAGCTTCTTGTCACCCAGTTTTAATTCACAAAACATGAATTAATAAAAGAGCCAGAAACATGGGAAAATGTGGAAAAGAAGCTTTCCCCCATATGCAACATCTGGTTGGAAATTAGCTACAACCAAGTCCAAGGGCCACCAAGGAAAACCTACTTTCATGGAGGAAATCGGTATATTTGCGCGTCTACGTTTCGAATTATTAATACCCACTTCTGACTGCAGTTTCTGTATGTCCTGTAAGAGGGCGCTGACAAGAATAATGACTAAATACTGTAGCGCCAAGTAAGGTCGCTAGCCGACGCTCTTTTTGTGCCGTTGTGACGGAGATCTCGCACCCCCTGATTTTGCACCCCCCCGGGGCGAGATCACTAGCGATCTCGAACCCCCCGGGGCGAAATCGCTAGCGATCTCGCACCCCCCAAGCTAGTGTTTTCGCACCCCCCAAACTAGTGTTTTCGCACCCCCCGGTGATCTCGCACCCCCCCGCCAAACATTTTGAAAATTGTTCTGTCTGCCCGGTATATAGTTGAAACTGCATTTTAGTGTGATAAAACCATACTTTAATGTTGTAATCGAGAGTTTTACAAGTTTCCCTGGACTAATGTGACGTATTTCAGCACAGCGCAATAATGGTGACTGTGCCCAATGATTGGTTGCAATAGTGTCCCTTAGTTCCTTAGTCCTATCATGGCATGCTACAGATTTATAGAATATCCTCATTAACAATGCAAATTATATCCTTATTTGCATAATTGTCATCTCATTATGTCAAGCATCATCTAGGCTGCCTACATACCGAAAATCACAATGATTCCTCAACTGGTTCTTGAGTTATCCTCCTTTAAACATTTGAACTTAAAGTCCCCTGCAGTTCCCAAACAAGCTGCTAGGGGGTCCAAACTTACGTCACTTATTCCCCAGGGCAAGAGCTATCTATCATGCAAAATTCATGACCCTAGCATGTTCAGATCACGAGATATCAAAACCGGAAGTTCTACTGCAGTACCATAACAAGCCGCTAAGGGGCCCAAAATCTAATCATTTCGAGGTCTCATCAAGACCAACCCACCTACCAAGTATCAAGACAATATATTCAAGCGTTCTTGAGTTATGGTGGTAACAGGCAGACAAACAGACAGACAGACAGACAAACAAACAGACACACCGCCACGAAAACATAACCTTCTTGGCGAAGGTAATTACTGAATATTGGTATTGTCATACTAGAGGATAGTGTTTGTTAATAGGTAGCATCTGATATAGTAACCACTGTGAATTACGAAGGCCGTAACAGAACACATACGGGGTGAACAAATCGATTGAGGGGGTGCACAATCGCTACCGATGTTGCACCCCCCGGGGGGTGCAAGATCACCAAAGGGGTGCGAGATCACTAGTGATATCGTTCCGGGGGGTGCGAGATCACTAGTGATATCGTTCCGGGGGGTGCGAGATCGCTAGTGATTTCGCTCCGGGGGGTGCGAAATCACTGGGGGTGCGAGATCTCTGTCACACCGTCTCCTGTGTTGTCGAAAACCCCCATGCAGGCTCATATGTGACCGACCAACCAAATCCTCAAAATTAATCTAATCAGCAGAGATGACCAATGGGAAACGTGCATTTTTCTGACCAACGGAGAGGCTGCAAAGTGCATTTTACTGACCAATGAGCATGTCAGGATTCTGCTCAATCGACCAATCGGAGGCTAGAATTCTTCGCACAGGTGGTTGGAAGTTATTATAAACCCCAGTGCTGAGACGGTTGCGTTATCATCAGTCGATATATTCAACGGCTACCGAAGCGCGAAGAGAAGATAGTCGCTCTTCTATCGACACGGCGGTCTGCAAGCCGAAATGTGGGGGAAATGGCGGTGCCTAAAACGTCCAGGGCATCATCGCACCGACAAGAATTTACCTGAATTTCGCCGGGCTCAAACATAACGTTAATATTCCGTCGAGGAGACTGTCGACAATATGTAACGTGACCTTCAGCGGACAGTCAAGTGTTTGGTTTGGTAGCGTTTTCCTTTCTACTTCTGAACCACGTGCACGTAATAGGTAATGAACGAACTTTGTAACTTAACCTTCAAACATACTGCCATTGGCATGTCTTAATAGTGATACAATGTTTCTCTTTGCAACTTAGGGAAGGGAGGTGCTAAACCTCCACACCCTAGGGCATCACTACACCGAGAAGAATTTGCGGACTCAAACCTAACGTTGATTTCAAGACGAGGAGACCCGCAGTATAAAGGTGAGAGTCGGATCAGTTCATCAGTAACGGTTAAATGTCTTTGGTTTCGGAGCGTTTTGCTTTCTACGGTTCCACTATTAAAACCCCAAGGCATAAGGTATCCTTGATTGCGTGCCTATTTAGTGTTTTAATCACAAGCAAAATGTTCAACTAAATCTGTCTTGTTCTAATTATTGGTAATTTGACATTCATGTCGGATTCAGGATGCAAGAAGCAGGAAAGGAGACATCTCTCAGCATCTTCCAGGACGTTATTGCTGCCTTCAACTACACGTCTCAGGGAAAAGGCTTTAAGGGATGAAGAAAAGGTTAGTGATTTGTGATGTGCATTAAGTATCTTCTGGCACCAAACTTAGAATTCCCTTTGTGTATCTGAGACATTTTCGACAGGGATAATCAAGTTTCTTGGTTGTTGGCAAGGTGGTTGAGTTTGCTTTGGTGACATCCTGAGTGACATTGCTGGTTGGGGATTGGGGCATTTTGAGGGTTTTGGCTCCTTTTGCACGCATGGCTTTAGTCTGTTTATGTGGGATACAGGTCTGATGTATGGTTGATTTGGTTTCTGTGACCACGTCGGTGGCTGGGATCGTTTTTGGAGTTGCTGCAAAGTTCAGTCCTCTAGAAAACGGAGACTTCCCTATGTTCTGTTAGCCCATGATTATTTAGGTATCTTGTACTGCCTGACTTTCTTTCTGCATTATGTGATTGTCAGTGGGTCGGGAACCCTGACCATTACGTAAGCTGCCTTGTGAATGAAATAATGGGGCGGGGGTGGGGGGTGGATCATCTGGTTCTGGGGTATCCGTTAGTCTTGAGATCCCGAACAAAGACTACGGCACAAGGCCAGAAGGGAGGACAGGTAGATGAAGAGCGCAAGTGATCATGAGCTAACAGAACTGGGGAAGTCACTGTTTTCTGGAGGACTAAACTTTGTGGTTACCTCTGAGCGCAATTCCGGTCGTCAGCGTGGGTACAGAAGCTGATCAGGCCAAGCATTGGACCTGGTTGCCACAGTAACGGGTTGAAGCACTGTGTGCAGAAGTAACCATTGCTCTCAAGTGTCCTAATCCCTTGCCAGTGCCGTCACAAGGCTGTTGCCAACATTCTCGATGCCTTGCTGACAACCAAGTGATTGTGATTCTCCCTGCTGGTGATGCCTCGGGTAGACAGAGGGGATTGTTACCTAAGCTTGGACTGAAGTTGCATCACAGATCAGTAACGTCCTGCCTCTGGATGAAAAAAAAAGGTCAAGTCTGTAAATGAAGTTCTTGTTAAAGCTCTTCAAAGAATGCAATGTTATCATTTTACGATTATGTATGATAGACAAGTGTTGCTCAGGTTGTATGTTCATGTTATATGTTCATGTTATTAAGTCTTTTTCACCAAGCCATCTTCCTGGATGAAGCTAAATTTGTTGTGGTGCTAGGGCCAACATTCTCGATGCCTTGCCAACAACCGTTAACCGAGTGATTGTGATTCTCCCTGCCAGTGATGCCTCGGGTAGACAGAGGGGATTGTTATCTAGTTTTAAGATACGCTTTTATTAAGATAAGTGCAGTTTATTACTCCGAATGATTTTGGAAACGGTCAGATGTTTCAGGTAGCATCCACTTGCACTACTTTCGTCAATGACAATAGAGACTGCAGGAGAAATGCAGATTTATCATATCCAGTTGCTTGTGTCACTGTTTTTTGGCGTATCTTATTACCCGAATGTCTAACCTTCACCAATGTAAGTTCTGTTTAGTTTAAGAATAGTTGTAGTCTAGTGTTGAGAACAGTTGTAGTCTAGTGTTAAGGTTAGTTGTGGCCTAGTGTTAAGGTTAGTTGTAGTCTAGTCTTAACTATGATTAGTTGTATATGATTAGTTGTAAACTATGATTAGTTGTATATGATTAGTTGTAGCCTGAGTGACTAAGTGTTGTAGTCTAGTGTTAAGGTTAGTTGTAGCCTAGTGTTAAGGTTAGTTGTAGTCTAAAGTGAAAGTCTTTTGTTCCCACTTAGCCTTTATTTTTGTGTATTTTGCCTCTATTCTAGTACAAGTAGTGGCCACCTTGTCCTAGAATGGATCCAAAATATATGAATACATTGGCTTTGAGAGCAAAGGTCTTCACATAAAGTAGGCTGTAGTGTAGTTATAATCAGGCTAGGGCATTGAAGTGAGTTTTTGAAACTTAGCTTTCAAAATGTCAGACTCAACCTGAGCAACACACTGAATGCTTAATAAACAGTCATGTGGTATCTCTTTTGAGTTTTTGTTTTAGAAGGATAAAATAAAATAAAATAGAAGTGCTATTGAAGTCCCATCCTTGGTCCCATGTAGTATTGACGTCCCCATGTACCGGTAGTGCTCACCACCACCACCCACCCACCCCCATACATTAATTTGTCAGTATTAGGCCACACTAATTTAATTTCTTGGTGAACGGATTCGCCCGCTTCATTTTTTTCTGATTTGCAAATAAAAATAAGAATTCAGAATCATCTGCAAAATGCTCATATTTCACCCTGAACAGTTGAAAACAGTCCTTTTCTTCCTGGTTGTTACATTTATTCCATCTTTCAATGCAGTGGTATCATTAAAAGTTCAAAATTAATTGTTTAAATTTTGAATCCGCCTGCTTTGTTGACTTCATGGCTCCTATCGTACCATTTTGGGCCATAATAGGATACCTAGGCCTGTTTTAATTTTTCTTTTTTTCGCCCGCCCTCCATTATTTTTCTAGAAAAATCTGTTAAGTGCTCTCATAAACCCCGTGTAGGTCTTTTCTGTCACTGGACCTAATTAAAGCGCTACCTAATGAAGAGTGAAGGTACTTCAACCAAGTAGGCAAAGAAATTGTCTCTGTGCTTTGTGATGTAATAGTGGGACAGCGAGTAGGCAAAATGTATTTAGGCCACACCAAGTAAATTTTATGGATGACGTCCTCGCGCGCATTGATTTTGGCCTGTTCCTAGAAAAAAAAAAAAATTCCGCTAACTGTATTACCCATGCTGTAACTATGACCAAAGAGTCAAGACAGTGCCGCAAATCGTCTGATTGACATGAAACGCGTAACGCGAAATGGGTAAAGAGCACATTTGCCGCAGGACAGGACAACAACTGCTGTTCCACATGATTTATTGCTGTTTTGATGATGACTAAAAGACTTGCTTGTTACACTGTCACCTCATTCAATTTGTGTCCTAACATTTGTCGTCTCTTAGTATATTTCTAATCTAGGCATCTTGTTTTTAGGGCCCTTCTTGTTTTTTTGCCCTCTAGCATTAGATTTAGGGTCTCCAAAGGACATCATCCATAAAATTTACTTGGTGTGGCCTTTAAGAGAACTTGCTGGAAAACTACAGGCATGAGAAGTGTGATGTACTCGACAAACTCAATGTGTATGGTTAGGAAAGTGCCAAATGCAACTAAATTTGTGCCTAATTACCATGAAGCAGGTAATCTAGTTACAGAGACTACTAATTTCAACATCAGGGAGGGTAAGAAAATGGATGAAAATGTAGCTACATTGTGACAAATGGGTTACTGAACTTTGTGACTAGACATTTGCTGACAAATGCCAAAAAGCAGTTACTCAAGCAACTAGATATGATTTTGGAAAAAGTCAGGACAAAAAAAAACCGGCCATATATAAACATCTAACGATCATTCCCCCACAACCTCTGCTTGGAGAGTACCGAACACCTGCAAAGGAGGCTGGAAGTAGAAACACCACACTGTTGCTACACCATCAAGAAGCGCCATCTAGCGGTTATTCTACGCCCTGCTTCACATGGCCAACGCAGTTGGACGAGTCATCAACAACACAGGATTGAGCAGCCAGCCGGTAGGTGGCATAACTGCTACTTGGTCTTGGTGTTCTGCTAGACATGCAAACGCAAGTGCATGTAAATTTTCATGTGTAGCATGTAATGACAAGTCTCCTTTA